TTGAGAGCAAAGGCTACATCTAAACTGATGCTCAGTATGGCAGGATAGACCAGTCCTCCAGTTTCTAATTCCTTTCTTAGGCTGGTGGGCATTAGCTCTGTCAGGATGATTGGATTACCCTCTGTAGTGGCTCCCATGAACTGAAGGAGGTTAGGATGACGTATTTTAGAAGCAATGTTCATTTCACGAGAGAACAGCGATAGATTATATTCTGATATGATGGTGTCATGAAGGACCTTTGCAGCAACTTCCAGTCCATGGAAACTAGCTACTCTGACCTCTCCCCATCCTCCTCTACCAAGAACTCTTCTTGTCATTGTAATATCATTCCTACTCACTGTCCATGAAGACTCTCTCTCCCTCAGCTCATGCTCATCCCTCTCTCTTAACTGTTGCTGGAGTTGTCTCTCTTTTTCTTGAAGTTGTTGAAGCTGTTGTTGCTCTCTCTCTTCACTTTCTCTTTCTTGTTGTCTTAGTATTTGATTCTTCTCTTGAACTTGTTCCTGAGCTCTTTCTTTTTCCCTTTGAAGCTGTTGCTCTCTTTCTTGAGATTCCCTCTCTCTTGATTCAAGTTGTTCCTGTAGTCTGGTTCTAACTCGTTCCTTTTCTCTTCTCTCCTCCTGTAGTTCCCTTTCCCTTTCTTGCAATATATGTGTCAGACGATCTAGTTCTCTTCTGTCCTCCTGGAGCTCCAGCTGTTTGCTTTGATGATGATGAGGTTGGACAGGTTGAAATGCTTCCCATTCTCTTCTCCTTTCTTGTAGTTTCTCTTGATATTGGTTTAGAGGTATTTCTTTAACAGACCAACATCTGTTACTATATCCTATTATGACAATAAATAATACAAATAACAAGCCATTACAGTGCAGTGAAAACTATTAATCATTATTTATACCATTAAAATTATGAGCAAAAACCTTAGTGGCACACAATAGTGATAGCCATACACACAGCAAAATAAAACCTATAACTCAATGGCACATGGCATCAGAACTAAAAACTTGCAAATCACCAAAAATTAACAATCAAAAATTCTTCCTCCAAAATTACCAGCTATATTATGGTACTTACTGAGTTCAATTACTGCTGTATCATCATACTTTGAATCTCCTCCAAACACAATTATCCAGTCAATGGTTGGTGTTATACTCCACACTGACATAGAATGACGCCATCTCTCAATGATTCTTTTTGATACATTTAACTGTTAGAAATAAAAGATTAATAACGTATAGCTGGCATTAGCTACAAGTAGCAAATCTATATTCTCAAAATCACCTAAAGGCATGCAGCATAAACAAATGCCTCATAACCAACAATCCATAAAATTGCTAATATAATACATACCAGTTGTTTCCATATTCTTTTATTAATATCAAGTAACCAGCAATCATTCTTAAATAATCCGCCCACCACTAGTAGATGTGGTCCTAAGTTACTATTAATAAATACGCTGGAATGATCCCATCGTTCTTTAGGCTTTTGTATTGATACTCCAAGATTAGAAAAATTCTAAATATAAAATAGAATTGAAGTAAAACATTACCCTAACAAAACACTTACTACTGATGTGTGGCAAAAATTAACAATATAAGTATTGTGACTGTATCCATTATAAATTAGACCATCAAACAATATGGCACAGTCATTAGCAATTGATGTTAAAGTAAAGTAACTGATAGGAGGCGGCCTGTCTCCAGTAACATTAGGTGAACTCCATTTACCTAATAATAAATGAACATTAATAACAAAACATGATAGTCTACATATCATGTAAGGTGATAGTCTGGGCTGGCCCAGACTAGTGATAAACTAAATTACTATACTAACCAGATGATAGTTTATAATAATGAATCTCATTAGTTCGTTTAAGGCCAGGTACCATTCTTCCACTGTCATACTGAGCATTAGGTTGTGTGGGTGTATTGTTAGAAGATGGTCCGTGTCCTCCAATTACTGCAAGATAGTCCTCACCGTTCAGTTGAAATGCTACCATGCCACAGTAGCCTTTCATCATTGGTCCGTGATGAGGAGTAGTAGGTGAGAGTTCCCTCCAGGTGAATGTATCAACATTAAAACTGTACAGACTATTATGATAACAGCTATCATGATTACACCTTCCACCAAAATAAAATATCTCATTTCCAATGGCAGCAGATGCATAGGCAAAAATACCCAATGGAGGATTACCAGTGGTGGGTTTCTGCTCCCATCTACCAGTAGGTAAATGGTATACCTCCATTAATGATGACAGTGCTTTCTTCTTATCATTATTGTGTACTTTAGGGAGATCAGACTGGAGCCCACCCCACATATATAAGTAATCTCCTACTCTTACTGTAGAATGATTACTCCTCTTCACTGGTTCATATTCTATAATTAACAAGAGGTAACAGTAAGTAGCTAAACACTAATCATAATACCTGCTTTTCCTGCCATTTTATACTAAACTAAAAGTGTTTGTGGTTTGCTAATTGCAATAGTGGTCATGCATTGGTAATTATGCAGTATTTCTGAAGGGGCAAACTCTGAATTCCTGGTATCACCTACTACACATTATGCCACAAAATAATAATAATAATAATAATAGTAATAATAACAACAACAACAACAACTAGTACATTGTATCTAATGTCTTTGACTCTTAGGCTAGCATGGACTGACAGTCTCAGTTAAGGTCTCTCATAGTATAATATTTTTCTTGACTTCAGTAAAGACCATTTTTGTCTCTTCCAATATAAAGTGATGCCAACTAATAGTGACAATATTATCACACCCTGAGAGAGTGAGGGGGGGGGGGGAAGAAGGATAATGGATGCTTAAACTCTGAAATCAAATAATCAAAAAATTACCTTCATTCCCATCCTTTTCCTTTCATCATGCTTTGGATCTATAAAATAATACAATAATAATAACAACAACAACAATAATAATAATTGGGCAAAGCCCACTAAGATGAAGTGAGAGTCTGCATGAACTGTAGAATCATCTAACTATTATTATAATAGAGTTAAAAAGCCTAATCTTTATTGAAAGTGGGTGTGGTCACAATGAAATAAAATGGCGGCTATCAGTTATCTGCAGCAAACGGTACGACTAAACTGCTGTTCAAAGAGAAAGGCTTCTCTAGTAGCAAGAAAGGTCATACAGCATAACAATAATGTGGCTCAGGAGGCTGAGCCCATTAATGTTTTACATTCTTCTAGTAATAATACCACTACAGCATAATATTCATTAATTACCTGCCGACCAGCGTAAGAAGGTAGTAACATCCTTTGCCATCTGACTAACAGTGGCAGGAGTACCTAGAAAAAGAGAGGGAATGAGCCACACATGCAGAGAAGGAAGGGAGAGAGAGAGAGTGAATTCCTCTTACCATCTTCATATTCTATCCCTCCATCAAACAATTGTTGTGGCATTCCAATTGCTCCACCAGGGAAATAAGGATTATATGCCAGACCTTCTCTTACTTCAACACCAGCAGGAGGATCATAATAGCCGGTTAATAAAGAGAATATATAATCTTCTTCTCCATGACGAGCAAGAACAATAAGAGTTAGGTCAGGAGGAAGGGCACCTAATATCAGGAAAAATACACACATACACATGTACTTTCAAATCTAGCTTGTGACACTAAAGGCTGGTTTACAATATTATGCAAGTCCTGACGTTACATAGACACAGGAATAGAATCTGGTTCTATTCTAGTGGAAAGCATGCATCAAAAGGTCAAATTGCCCACGCTTTTGATTAAAAATTGATGGTACATTGGCTTAACATCATATTGTAAACTAGTCTTAAAACATAATTTTTGAAAAATGGTATCATGGCATTTTTGTGAATGGCAATGAATGTTTCAATGAATTTTCCTGTTTGCATGATAAAGTTACACAATATACATGTACATGTATATGTAGCTAGAAATTTTTGTGGCTCAAATTTATGCTAACTTTGGGAAATTTGATAAATTTAGAGATCAAAGTATTTTGATCCTACTCAAAAAAAATAAATCAGAAATTAAAGGAGCTTTTGCTGGCCATTCACATAAAATTTTGGGCTCTAACTATGGCAGATATTTTGAGACAAAGATACAATACATGTAGGAGGTTACCATTATTAGCTGCTCTGGCTGCCTCTTCATTCGGATAAGGATTAGGGAAATAATCACTGAGTTTCCCCTGACGTGTGGTAGGATTACCCTCTTCATCAATATCACCTGGATACTCATACTGAGAGAAAAAGATACAAAAAAATATACATGGCAATAATAGAATTTTTATTATATTTTCGATACATACATGTACATATGTTCTTATATTGCTTATATTGCGTACAAAGTTTCAACTGATTCCAATCAAAGTTGAATTTTTAAAATTATTCAAAAATATAGCCAAAAATCAAAGGCCTTTAGTATTTTGCCAAATTTCATAAAAATGGCTCCAAGAGAATTCACCATTTTAATAATTTTTTCTGATATGCATACATGTTCTTATGTTATGTCAGCTCATGAAGCACACTTTTCAGCTCACTTAGCATGCTTTGTGGGAAACCCTCATTACAATAGTTACAAACTAAAAGAATTACTAGATAATAGTTATGAAGAGGACTATTAGTAGTATAAAACAGAGACAATACAAACCTCTTCAGCAAGAGCCCGTGCCTCTTCTTCAGTGTGTGACACGCCCACTAAATGTCTAAAAGCAACATACTGCATACTGTGACAAGCTGAACAGACTTCCTTATAAACCTGATACCCACGACGTATGCTACGAAATAATTAAAAATAAGAAAATGCAAAAACAAATTTTAATATACCTTCTATGGTCAAGAGCAGAGAACACTCCTTTGTGATCCCATGGGTACTTTGGTGGATGGACTGCATCATCACTGGCTACCAATGACGTTAAAACTACACCAGAACCAAAGGCAGCTGCTGCAAGTGTACCGAAATACCTCGAAGACTAAAATTACATAATTAATGTGTAATTCATGTTATGTAACAATGTGTGTTTACCATTTTAAAAGAGGCTGTCGTCCCCTACAAATAATGATATTAATTTAAAATAAGTTACGAAAGATACTTTACTTTAGTTGAAGACGAAGAATACAATTTGCAGAGTCTTCTAAAGACCACTTGAGCCCCGGTAGCCATGTTACAAACTGCACCTAAAGGGTGTGGCCTAGGAACAACTCACGTGATCTAACAGTAAACAAACATGACGTCATAATAAAAATGGTGGCCATCTACATCAATCAAAGCTATTCCAAATAAGGAGGCATTCGTTAACACAAAATACCATAATTATTTTTAATAATAATAATAAATAAATCAGCCCCTTGGATGTGACATGAAATCGGTTACTAAGTTACCACCAAATACATTGTACCTATTAGTAATCAAACAACACTATATGTAATATACAATAGTCGGTAAGTTTCTTCATCCCACAACTAATTGGTCACCATTAAACACATACTCAGGTACGGCAAGGTTTTCGGGTGCTGGTCCTTTACGAATACGACCTGATGCATCATAATGAGAGCCGTGACATGGACAGAAATACCCACCGAAATCTCCTTCATTGGCCACAGGTACACAACCAAGATGAGTACAGCTCCCTATTACCACGAGCCACTCTGGCTTCACTACTCTCTCGTCATCATGCTGTGGGTGACGAAGTGATCCTACGTCAACATTTCGTACATCTTCAATCTCTTGCTGTGTCCTGTGACGAACAAACAGAGGCTTCCCTCTCCACTTGAACACAACGTTCTTTCCCTCTGGGATGGAGGCAATGTCAATTTCTATCTTTGCCAAGGCCAGTACATCTGCTGAAGGGTTCTTGGTAGCAAGGAGGCCACGGACAGCATTTTTTCCAAAGTAGGCAGTGGCAACCCCTCCAGACCCAAGGACAAGGTAGGTGAAGGCTTTTCTGCTCAAAATAGTGTCATTTGCTGGTAATTTAGGATCAGTTGTGCTTTCTTTCCTGTATTCACTGAAGTCAGGCGGGCGTAAATCGTTATGATAATTTCCACTGGTTGTTGAGGAAGCCCTGATCCACCTGACCCCAGAACCCAGCAGAGTAGTCCTCAGTCGATTCATTTCTTTACAAGGTCAAGAGTCGAGACTCGAGAGAGAATGGAGAGAAAATCAGAAAGACGTTGAAGCTAATAAACTTGCTATACTAAAAATAGATTTAGTGCGTCTAAAATTTTGTCTAGTAACGGTTAACCCATTTAAAAATAGTGACACAATTCAAAATTACAAACTTTTCCACGCCCATTTTAGGGAAGGGCTATCTCTGATTGCTATGCTGACGTGACGTGATCTGAGCTGAATGACTGCAGCTGCGCCAGCTGCCAGCTGATGAGAGTGACGACCGACGTCGCGACATACACGTAGCCTGACGTAGATATGGGAATCTAATACTTAACAACGCTCATCAAAGAACACTATCCATCAAGGACCTGGAGAACCATTACACCGAGAGGTAAAGTTGTTTTGGATGGGAAGAGTATCAGCAAAACATTAGCTAGATCTACCTCCAAAGAGCTGGAATGGATGCATGGTGGACAGTATGGGGAACTGAGGGACCACTTCATAAGATTCTTCAGTAGACTCAGAGATAGTGGTATAGACCCCATTGTGATATTTGATGGAGTTGATTATAATCAAGAGAAAAATGCTACTAAGCTGCACCGAAAGAAAGAAAAAGTAAAAAATATCTTCAAAGCGATGTTAAACCACGATGAAAGACTATCAGATTCTGTTTTGCCAATATTGACTGGCATCGTATTCTGTGAGACTCTAAAAGAGCTTGGAGTTGAGTTTATATTTGCTGATGGAGATGCAGACCAAGACACAGCCCAAATTGCTAACCACTACAATTGTCCAGTCATTGCCAATGATTCTGATTATTTCATCTTTAATTTGAAAGCTGGATATATTCCATTGGATTGTCTCGACTGGGATCAACAACCGGTGGAAGCCAAATTATATGAGCGAGATCAATTCGCTTATAAATTTTATTTTGATCACAACCCAGACCTTATATACCTCATACCAGCCATTATGGGAAACGACTTCATGAAGAAAGTAGAGTCACCTTCTTTGAAAAGAGACATAGAAGCTACTAAACAGAGAGCTATAAAAAAAGGAACACGAATAAATGAAAAAAGAAAGGACGATAAAATAGAAATGTTATATTACATTTCAATTTTCAACACCGTGACAGATTTTACAATGCATTTATCTAAAACCTGTGGTGATGATGCAACCAGTGCTATCAGTAAAAACTACAAGAAAGCAAAGGAAATGTATGATATAGGAGAAATCAGTATGGCCGACCTTGTAGAAAGCAAAAACCTGAAGACAGCAAATGGTACTCTGCTTCTTGATATTATTAGGCAACAATATCGTAAAGGATTCATCGCTACATCAGTAATGGTGATAATAGTATTAAACAAGTATTTAGTACCAGTGATGGTTGATAGCCCACACAATTACACAGCAACAAGGATAGGAAAACACATCAGGAAATGTATCTATATGATTCTATCACCATACTTATCTGAATCAGAAGTAACAGAAACAACAACAACTAATGAGGAACCTCTTGAGGAAAGGGTCAGTTGGACTGATGTCAGCCACCTCAATTTACCATATATCGATGACATGATAGACCTCAATAAAGATGAAAGAATCGACTTTCTTTTTAAGTAATGAAGTCACCTCTTGAAGTCCAGGAGACTTTAAAGACTTTTACAGAATCAAAATGGAAGTTAGTTGCAGTGTCGTTGCACTATTGGTCACAGCATGCTCATCCTGATATTCATTTAATTGAGGCATTAGTTTTGTGCTTTATTTGTTGCTCCTTTCGCAATGAAACAGTATGTCCTTATAATAAGGTACCTGATCATAGAAGGGATGAGAAGTGGCTGGAAGCATTGCATACTTTTGCACAATGGAAGAGCACATATTATGATGCACTGAGGCTCAACAATGTCCTAATGAACCCGTTACCATTCGTGTCACCAGCACATTTGTTTAATGGTAAACTCGTTATGCATTATGCTTGCACTAGAGAATTCAACATGCACAAAAGAAAAATCCTGGAGTCTTCAAGTGTCAAACCTTTTTTTGACAAACTTTTGTCTGTATGTACATGTACCTAAACGATTGTTATTGGCCTGGCCAGTGATTATGAGGGAGAAGACTATGTATATATTTTTGTTTGTCATTGTATGTCCATTTGGTCAGTTTATTGTATCGATTGTCTCTAATCATAAAATTAACACAAATTTAATAAAATCAATTAGAGCTGCCATTACACCAATAATTATTATTAACTCAGAGTGAATTGAATCAATTTGGTGTATTGATTTTCCAATCAATCAATATCAATAATTATTATTAATGATAATAAAAAAGAGAGAAAAGACAGACAGAAATTGATATTGTGGTACATTACATGTTTGCAAATGTATAATTGATCCATTATCTTCTATTATTAGTCCATTCCTGGCTCATAGCATACACCAGTGCAATAGAAAATTATGCCGTGTCTTTAGCTACAGCTGCTAGAGGATTTTGAGTAGTGTAATAAGTAGATCTACATGCATGACTGCATACTATTGCATCTCCTGTATCTACACTATAGGCTTCATAATATACCAATAGAGCTCAGAAAAAATAATGTTGTATGAGCCGTTGACCATAAGCAGTAGTTGCTCATTTTCTTACTTGATGCATTATAGTAATCATGGATAGTAGAGCCATGTATTAATGAAGCACTATGGTGCAATGGACTCACCCAATGGAATTCACATGTGTTTTTTAAAAAGCAATTTGAAAAAATATTGTTATTATTGACTGCATAGCTATCATAATTAAAATTAAATATGCCAATTACAGCCTTACTAATAATTAGGAGATGGGAAATAAACCAGTTGGGCCTGTAACCAATAGCATAGATATTAGAGTTATATGCTATGCCAATATCTATGCCAATAGCAATATTAACGAGCCTACGCCCCCGTTTCCAATCCCTTTCATTTACTCATAGATCTAGACGATTAATTTACTAATATCTACGGGATTGGTTGCTATGGTGATGTAACTTCAGCAAGTTCAGCTCACACTGCACTACTCATAACAAGAGTAGATTATACTACTCTTGCTCATAAACAGGACTCAGCCTGGCAGCAAACACGTAGATACTACATTTGTAGTATCCATGCTGGCAGCCAATTCAAGCAAAAACCTGCGAGCAAATGGGAATCCAATGCTTAACAACGCTCATCGAAGAACACTATCCTTCAAGGACCTGGAGAACCATTACACCAAGAGGTGAACTTGTTCTGGATGGATTGAGTGTCAGTAGAACACTATCTTCCTCCAAAAAGTTTGACTGGGTACATGGTGGACAGTATGGGGAACTGAGGGACCACTTCATAAGATTCTTCAGTAGACTCAGAGATAGTGGTATAGACCCCATTGTAATATTTGATGGGGTTGATTATAATCAAGAGAAAAGGGAAACTATATTACGCCGAATGAAGAAGAAAGTAAGAAATGTCTTCAAAGGAATTATAAATGATGAAAGACCATCAGGTTCTGCTTTCCCAATATTCACAGACGTTGTATTCTGTGAGACTCTAAAAGAGCTTAGAGTTAAGTTTATATTTGCTGATGGAGATGCAGACCGAGACACAGCCCGAATTGCTAATCACTATAATTGTCCAGTCGTTGCCAATGATTCCGATTATTTCATCTTTAATTTAAAAGCTGGATATATTCCATTGGATTGTCTCTACTGGGATCAACAACCGGTGGAAGCCAAATTATATGAACGAGATCGATTTGCTTATAAATTTTATTTTGATCACAATCTAAATCTTATATACCTCATACCAGCCATTATGGGAAACGACTTCATGGATAAAGTAGAGTCACCTTCATTGAAAAGAGACATAAAAGCGACTAAGCGGAGAGCGATAAAAAAAGGAACACAAATAAAAGAAATAATAAAGGTTGATGATGATAATTTTGAGGATAAATTAGAAATTTTATATTACATTTCAATTTTTAACACAGTGGAAGATTTTCAAACCCATTTATCTAAAATTCCTCTTGACGATGGTCATGATACAGTTAGCATTATTGATGAAAAATATAAAGATGCAAAGGAAATGTATGACGTAGACAAAATCAGTATGGCCGACCTTGTAGAGAGCAAAAACCTGAAGAAAGCAAATGGTACTCTGCTTCCTGATATTATAAGGCAACAATATCGTAAAGGATTCATCGCTACATCAGTAATGGTGGTAATAGTATTAAACAAGTACATAGTACCAGTGATGATTGATAACCCACACGATTACACGGCAATGAGGATAGGAAAACACATCAGGAAATGTATCTATATGATACTGTCACCATATTTATCTGAATCAGAAGTAACAGAAACAACAATTACTCATTATATGGAGGAACCTGATGATGAAATGGTCAGTTGGACTAATGTCAGCCACCTCAATTTACCATGTATCGATGATGTGATAGGCCTCAGTGAAGATAAAAGAATTGAATTACTTTGTGAAGTAATGAAAACACCTCTCGAAGTTCAGGCAAAGTTAGAATCAAAATGGAAGCTAGTTGGAGTGTCATTGCACTATTGGTCACAGCATGCTCATCCTGATATTCATTTAATTGAGGCATTAGTTTTGTGCTTTATTCGTTGCTCCTTCAATGAAACAGTATGTCCTTCTAATAAGGTACTTGATCATAGAAGAGATGAAAAGTGGCTGAAAGCATTGCATACTTTTGCACAATGGAGCTGTACTTATTATGATGCATTCAGGCTCAACAATGTCCTAATGAATCCGTTACCATTCATGTCACCAGCACTTTTGTTTAATGGTAAACTCGTTATGCATTATGCTTGTACAAGGGAATTCAATGTTCAAAAAAGAAAAATCTTGGAGTCTTCGAATGCCAAAGCATTTTTTGACAAACTTGTGTCTGTATGTACATGTACCTAAATGATTATTATTGGTCTCGCCAATGACTAATGGGGGAAAGGACTATAGTCAAATGTGGTGTCTCATTGTATCCTTTTGTTTTGTTGTATCCATTTGTTATTGTCTTAATTATTTGCCATAAAAGGCAGTATCTTAATACTAACAAGAGTCAAACATTAAGCATAATAGTAAATCATGATGATTATAGCAATTTATGATGATACAAATTGATCTACATGAATAAAATAATGATTTAATGGTGTATATGGTGTAATTACATGCCAGTGCATCTTAGTTACTTCAAGTCTTCATTGGCTATTTGCCTCTCCTGTAGCTACACTATAGACTAATATTAGAGTAAAAATAATACTATGTTGGCATGTAAGTGTGACCATAAAGTATTATATTAATTTTTCTAATCTCGCGCACACTGAATTAATTTTATCCATGAAAATTATACTAATAATGATCAGTCATACATGTAAAACAAAATTAATATTGTTTTTCTTTGTTTTGGCGAGGCCAATGCACCATCGGTGTCTTGTTCTGATTTTTGTGATATTAGTCATTGGCGTTTATTTGTTTGTTGGAGCATAGATATTATAGACTACGTAACTGTAGTCAATAATATCTATGGTTGGAGCAAATATGCATGGTACATAGCATAAAGTCATCAATGACTGAATATGCATAAAATAGCATATGCCCATAATTGACTATTTGGCATTTGCATTGCATAAATTTAAGAGCAGTATTTGCTTATTTTCTTTTCTTACTTGATGGCTATATTTAATGACATTAGTGAAAGAATTCAGGTAAAAGAAAAGGGCGTTGGTGCATGCATAGATATGGAATTTTACCCTATTGGGGATTGGTTGCTATGGTGATGCATGCAACATGCTACTAGCCTTATATATAATAATAGCTTAGTCAATAGTCAGTTACTGACAGTTAGTCTAGTAAGTCTACTGCAGCTGCACTTTACTCAGCCACCCAAACAATAACCTGTGAGCAAAATGGGAATCCAATACCTAACAACGCTCATTAATAACCACTATCCTTCAAAGACCTGGAGAACCATTACACCAAGAGGTAAACTTGTTCTGGATGGGCTGAGTGTCAGTAGAACGGTAGCTAGCAGCAAATTTGACTGGACATATGGTGGACAATACTGGGAACTGAGGGACTACTTCATAAGATTTTTCAAAGGGCTCAGATATAGTGGTATAGACCCCTTTGTGATATTTGATGGGGTTGATTATAATGAAGAGAAAAGAGAAACTATACTAGACCGATTGAATAAAAAAGTAAACAATGTCTTTGATACATTTTATATGACAACTGATGCAGATTCTGTTGTCCCAATATTCACTGACATTGTATTCTGTGAGACTCTAAAAGAGCTTGGAGTTGAGTTTATATTTGCTGATGGAGATGCAGACCGAGACACAGCCCGAATAGCTAACCACTACAATTGTCCAGTCGTTGCCAATGATTCCGATTATTTCATCTTTAATTTAAAAGCTGGATATATTCCATTGAATTGTCTCTACTGGGATCAACAACCGGTGAAAGCCAAATTATATGAACGAGATCAATTCACCAAAAAATTTTTTAATCACGATCGAAATCTCATATACCTCATACCAGCCATTATGGGAAACGATTTTATGAAACGAATGAAGCGAAGAAGTTTAAGTGCTGCAATTGCTGATGCTTCTCAGAAAGCAAAAAAATCTGGAACAGAAATAAAGCAAGATGAGAAGTTAGACACGTTATGCTACATTTCCACTTTTGACACTGTCAAAGATGTTATGTCTCATTTATCTAAAATCTGCCAAGACAATGAGATTCGCAACATAAAAAAAAACTACGAGAGAGCAAAGGAATTATATGATATACAGCATATAGGAATTAGCAGAGACGAATTAGTAAAATGCACGAATTTAAAGACAAAGAGTGGTGCTCCACTTCCTTGTATTTTAAGGCAATATCGCAAAGGATGCTTTGCCAGATCAGTAATGGTAGTTCTAGTATTAAACAAGTATTTAATACCAGTGATGATTGATAATCCATACAATTACACAGCAATGAGGATAGGAAAACACATACGGAAATGTATCTATATGATACTGTCACCATACTTATCAAAACCAACTATTACTAATGAGGAACCTCTTGAGGAAAGTGTCAGCTGGACTGATGTCAGCCACCTTAATTTACCGTTTATCGATGATGTGATGCTTCTCAATGAAGATAAGCAAATTGAAGTACTTTGTAAAGTAATGAAGACACCTGTTGAAATCCTGACATTATTTATAGAATCAGAATCAAAGTGGAAGCTAGTTGCAGTGTCGTTGCACTATTGGTCACAGCATGCTCATCCTGATATTCATTTAATTGAGGCATTAGTTTTGTGCTTTATTCATTGCTCCTTTGATGAAACAGTATGTCCTTCTAATAAGGTACCTGATCATAGAAGAGATGAGAAGTGGCTGGAAGCATTGCATACTTTTGCACAATGGAGCTGTACTTATTATGATGCACTGAGGCTCAACAATGTCCTAATGAACCCGTTACCATTCATGTCACCAGCACTTTTGTTTAATGGTAAACTCGTCATGCATTATTCTTGCATAGATAGCATTGGCATTCATAAAAGAAATATCCTCAAGTCTTCCTTTGCTAAAATAATTTTTGATGTACTTGTGTTTGTATGTACTTTTAATAATACGACAGAATATTGCAGTTAATTATCACTGTCATAATAATCTTATTATGAGTTTTGTAATAATTGTCTAGATCTGTTACTTTTGCTATAGTACATATTTTTGGTATTATATCGATGTGTATAGCTGCTAATCATCAGTAACCAAATTAACTAATTATATTATAGGTAAACCATAGGCAGATGGTAGGCCATGCCTACACTGAGCTTAAGGTCTGTCCAGTGGTCATAATTATACCAAACACTATTTGACAAACTTGTTTTTGCATCTACTTGTACTACACATCAAAAAATTACGGTACATTATTATATAGTAGTAAAACTGTCAAGTGACTTGCATAATGTATGCTTCAAAAGTTCAAAGATAAGGGTCATGTGACCTTTTGACGTACACAAAGCATTGAAATAGAATTAATTTCTATTCTAGCAAAAACGTAACATCAGGTCTTGTATATAATGTAAATGTCAGTATGATGGTGAAAATCGTGAAATCAATCTATCATAATAGTAATAACAACATTCTACAGCATTATATTTATTCATTGTCTGAGTCTTCTCCTTTATCCTCTATCTGAGGATACTTCCTGTGGGTGGGGAACTGTTCCCATGGAGACGAGAGGTCAAACTTGCGGAACTCTTGAGTGAGTTCAATAGGTTCACAGACAACCCTCTTCACTTCATCATCATACCTTACCTAGCATAATGAAGAATGAGAAACAAGAGTTAACATGAATGTAATTACAGTGATAGTTCTTTTATCTCCACATTGTGTGTGTGATTGCATACAATGTACCTCTACATATCCACTCAATGGGAAATCTTTTCTAAGAGGATGTCCTTCAAATCCATAATCAGTTAATATCCTCCTCAAGTCAGGATGATTAGCAAAAAACACACCATACATATCCCATGCCTAAGGGAAGGAGAGAGAGAATGGTGGAGAGATAGAGAGAAAGGGGGGGGGGATAAGAGAGAAAAAGAGAAAAATACTATGTGTAAAATATTGCAAGTATACATACAAAACACTGATACAAGTACATGTAAGTTGGCCTAAACTTGATTGGGGCATTGTATACTATTATAATCAGCTACAGAATACAAATGATAATTTCCGATTCTAAAATGATTGCTATGCAATACAGAAATGTTAACAATTCTAAAATTGCCATCAGGCACGGTTTCCCACAATTTGCCTGCAAAGAGTGAACATGAGCTTTATGAACTGACAAATTAAAAAATTCATTAAAAATCGAAATTTGATTGGAATCAGCTCAAATTTAAAACATAGCATAAGGACATGTATAATATGTACCGGGAAAAAAATCATAAAAATGGAAAATTTCCTCATAACTATTTTTGACAAAATACATCAAAATACTCTGTGAGTTACATCAAATTTTGGAGCAACTTCAAAAATTTATGAAAAGACCACTGACTAAAAATGCTGAGCAATATGCCAAAATTCTGTAAAAACCCTGATTACTACCATATGAAATACATGTATACTCATTATAGTACCTGATACAATATATTAAAATTTCATGACTTACTTCTCTCTCGGCCCATATTGCTGAATTAAAGAGAGGAACAACAGAATCAATAGGAGTCAGCTCATCTGTATATGTCCTCACACGAATACGAGAATTAAATGTAACACTTAATAGATTATAAACCAACTGGAATTATAATAGAAAATTAAAGGAGAGAGAGAGAGAGAATAAGAAAGAGAAGAGAGAAATAATAAAAAAGAGAAGAAAGAAATAATACCGTAGGGTGCCTTTTTTTCGAGGGCTATAAATTTCGTGGATTTTTATTTCACGGATTTAATTTTCACGAATTTATGCTGTCTGCCATCTTGTACCGTATTAATTTGATTTTCGCGAAAGTAATTTTTGCAAATCTTTTAAAAAATCGCGAAATCCGCGAAATTTATAGCTCTCAAAAAAAGGCACACTACGGTACATGTAATAGAGAAAGTCTTAGTGATTTCAAAATTTTATCATTATTTTTATTTCACTCACTTCAAATCTGTACACATTCTTAGGTATATCTAATGCTGCAATATCTTGTAATTGTCTGAACTGTGAGTTGTGATGATCTCTTAGGAATGTTAACACCGGTATTAGACCTATCATGAAATAAAGACTACTTTACCAACTGCATCAACAAGAACATGTAGCTGACTAGGTGGGCATTACTATGAGGGTTTTAGAGTATGCAATGCTATAGTACTGCTATTATTAATTACCGTATAAATCCAAATTTTCGTCAGTCAAAAATTTTGTCAAATCTTAACTTGTTAAATTAATTTTCGTCAATAAAATTTTCATCATTCTTGCTATTAATCTACATACTACTCATGTAGAACAAAAATTTCGCCGGTTAAAAATTTATTCAAACAAAAATACCAGGCAAATTCAATGAAATTCTTAAGAGAAAAATTTGGAGCTATACAGTATACAGTGAGCTTTACCATGAATTTAAAAATAGAATAAAAAATATACCTGGTGTAGTATGCACCAAACTAACTCAATACACTAAAAGCATTTATTGAGTGTTATAAGTATTAACTGTACCTTCAGGGTGTATGAGGACCTCTAGCTCGTTATTGTGAGTTACTTGAGTCTGCTGTACAAACTTAGGAAGATTCTCTTCAACATATCTACCATAATCACTCAATCTCAGCCTCTTTTCTTCTCCTAAAGAGCATTAACAAGTAATTATAAAAGTACTTTAATTTGGTGATTGGCAGTTTGCCAATCTTAAACCCACCAATCATTATTGCACATGGTTAGTAATGCACGTGTACACAAAAATCGCCAAATTAAAACTGCTAATTATAATTTGACAGCAAAATCACCAAAATAAAACGCTACATACCACGGTAATGATGGATACACATAGCAGATTTTACTTGTGTTCAAACAGTGTGTATTGCATGGGGATAATGTGCACCTAGTAAACCATGCACAGAAACTCAGCTCACGCTTCATGCAATGATCCAACTGAAATGAAATTGGCTGTACTTAAATTCTGTTAAACTTACTTGCTGTGGTTGTGACAGCATTTGAGAATGGTCTAGCAGCAATAGCTCCAGGATTGATACCTAAATATGAACAATACACTTAATACACAACCTGTTGATAGCTTACTAGTTGGACCTCTCCACCACAACAAGGATCTAGAGCTCCCTAACAACCTCCTTGCAAAAGCCGCCATTTTAAGTCACGTGACTTTATATGACACGCCCACAACAATAAACTTTAAATGATGTCATAAAAAGTCACGTGACCCTTTCCCTAAAATATGGCGGTTCTGTCGGAAGAAATCTTTTGTGGGATTTCTTCATTTTAATACGAGTGGTTCTTTTCTAGTAAGTTCAATGCCTTTAATTGCACTTTATCCTCTCTTCTTTTTTGCTATTAGATTATTGTATCTTGTGTTTGAGTCAATCCCGCAGCTGCTACTTTAAAGGGGCGTGGCTGGATTGCAATTTTGTCGGATCACGTGATGCATCAAGAGAGGAGAGGGGATGAGGTCCTTACCCTCTCTCTTCCAGTTGGAGCAAAGGTTTTGTCATGGAAAGTCCTCGTAGGGTCCCGAGTGAAGAAGGGCTTGTCTTTATGTACGTACAGTACAAATACTACTGATGTGAAGACACTGGTATCACCATTAATTGGGATAATTGATACTATCAATGTGAAGGAAGGAGACACTGTTTCATCTGCGTAAGAATGATTAATATAATTTCATTAATAATTTGTTAAAATAATAAATTCCAGAAAATTTTTGTAATAAATTAATTTTAATTGTAATGTTCTTTTTGCTTACATTTACTTCATTTATTTCTTTGTGCAATGATAAGTGCAATGTTTATGTGTGCATTAATTAGGGATGTCAGTGTTGTCAGCGTCAGATATTGTGATCACAGTGTAGTGGCACTGGACTTGTGTGCATTCTGTGGACTAGACCTGAGGAGGTAAAGAGATGATGATCATATGTACTATCTTCTTTCTCTTTATCCAATAATATGAATATGTACTTTATATATTGACCTCTGTCCATTTTCTTCTATTTTGTTGTTCCTTTTTTATTATCTCTCTCTCTCCCCTCCCTCTCTCTCCTGCAGTATATCCTCAGTGAGTGATAGAGGTACAGAGGATCATGCTAATGTTAGTATGTTGCACGGTATGCCTCAAGTGAAAGTTAATAAGAAGGTAATGATGATAGGAGGGAGGGAGAGAGAGAGAGAGGTCCACAAAAAATATGAAGGACATTATTTACTCCATCATCCTTTTTCTTTCTCTTTTGCTCTCTTTCACACACACACACTTCATCTTTCTCTCTCCCTCTGTCTCTCTCTCTTTGCTATTGTTTCCCCCCCCCACTCCCTTCTCCTCCTTTTAGGAAGCTCAGAGATTAGGTAATCTAGACAAAGAGTGTTTATTGAAGAACAGAAAGCTAGCACTGATTATTGATTTAGATCAGACACTTATACATACTTCCATTGACAGGAATATTGAACGTGGATTACCAGTAAGTACATTGTACATATGTACATATGCATAATATGTAATACATAATACATGTACTACAGTGTAGTACATGACTACATGTATGTGTACATGTACATGTGTGTTATTACATGTATACATTATGTCCATTTCTTTGTTATTGTTACTATTTTGTTTTCTGATTTCTTTTTGTTCTCTCTCTCTCTCTCTCTCTCTCAGGATGTACATTCATTCACATTGCCAGGTCACTCTTGTGTTTATCACTGTCGTTTGAGACCTTACGTTAGAGAGTTTTTAAACCACATCTCACAGTACTATGAGCTTCATGTTGCCACTATGGGTACAAGGGATTATGCTGATGCCATTACTAAGATACTGGATCAGGAGAAGAAGCTCTTCTCTCATCGAGTCATTTCACGTAACGAGTTATTGGACCCTCACTCTAAAGCTGTCAGATTAAAGTACGGTGGATTGAATACATGAATGTGATATACATGTATTATTAATGATATCAGAGTTTCCCACTGGCCTTTTGCATAGTGCTCATGCAGCTTCTTTTTAGTCAAAAATTAGGCCAAAGACAGTACTGGGTCTTTAGTCAAATTGGTTATGAGAGATTTAAAAATTTTTATAACTTTTTCTGATGCATGTACATGTACTTGTTATGTAGAAAGTTTGAGCAGATTCCAATTAAAATTGAATTTTTTATAAATTTTTAACATTGCTCAAAAATCAACCCGAAAACCATGTACTGTAGTACAGGCTCTATGGCCAAATTTCATCAAAAATGTTCAGGAGAAAATTCTTCATTTTATAAATTTTTTGATACATATACATGTACTTATGTTGTGTAGAAAGTTTGAGCAGATTCCAATCAAAAATGGATTTTTTGTGAATTTTTAAAGTTGTTCAAAATGCCATGTACATGCACATACATGTACGTGTATAGTATAATAGTAGTGCTTGTCAGCTTATGAAACTCATGCTGTTTAGCAGCTTTAGCTCACTTAGTGTGATTTGAGGGAAACCCTGATTATTATTATTCGATTATTTTATTGTACAGCACAAGCAAACAACAGCTTGTCACACATACAGTTACGGGATCATTATTATCATTGTTGTTGTTTGGGCTATACTAGTCAAACAAACATTACCTATTATTTAATCATTAGGTCAGTGTTCCCTTGTGGAGATGAGATGGTTGCTATTATGGATGACAGAGGTGACGTATGGGGACACAGACCTAACCTCATTCATGTTAAAGCATACGTGTTCTTTGCTGGAACTGATGACATTAATGCTCCACCTCTTCCTCCTCCCACTGCCCCTCCCACCCATCATCCTCCTCCCACTGCCCCTCCCACCCATCATCCTCCTCCCACTGCCCCTCCCACCCATCATCATCCTCCTCCTTCCACTGCCCCTCCCACTTCTACTATACCTCCTCCTAATTCACTTTCAGACCATCCTCCTCAAGGAGAAGATCACCATAGCAACGTATCCTCTTTACCTAGCAACAGTAATTCCAATAATAACACTGATAAAGGTGGTAATGGGAACGGGAACAAAGATGGAAAGAATAATCAAACTGGAGGAGCTACTGGAGGCCCTACCAATACAACATCAGCTCCTCCACTCTCTCCCCCTTCTACCACTAATACTACTGCTGCTTCTATTACTAACACTGCTGCTTCTACTGCTACTCCTACTACTGCTTCTAGTTCTACTGTTGGTGCTGCTCCTGGTTCAAGTGATGAGGCAAGGGGCCAGGCTAATGGTGGAAAAGATGGCTCCAGTTCCTCTCAACCTCTTCCCTCCTCTTCTACTGTTAATGAAGATAGAGCTACTCACACTACAGCTATTGTTTATGATGGCGGTGCTAATAATGAGACTGTTAGTGGTAGCGATGCTATTAGTGATGCTATGGTAGTCAGTACTACTGATGATCCTGCCTCTTCATCTATTCCTCCTGGAGATGAAACTCATCATTTGGCTGATTATAATGTGTCATCATCTTCAAGCAGCTCCTCATCAAGCGACAGCTCTGATGATGAAGAGGAGGAGTCAATGGATACTACACCCTCCACACTAGCTCAGAATCATCCACAGCCTCCAACTGTCCCTGAGCCCAGCCCACCTGATACTGCCATGGAAGTACATGCTAAGCCCCGACCAGTGATAAATGATCCTGATAAGTTCCTGGTGTACCTGCAGGACCTACTGGAGAGGATTCATGAGACATTTTACAAAGAATATGATGAGATGAAGAGAGAGGAAGAGGAGAATAAAGGAGGGAGAGATACTGGGAGTGAGTCTCTTTCCTCTCCTGATTTAAAGGTCATCATTCCTTCCTTGCGTAAGTCAGTTTTCTCTGGTTTGCGGTTGCTGTTCACTGGAATCATACCAACAAACATGAATCCTGAGAAGAGTAGGGAATGGAACACAACCAGAGCCTTTGGTGGTGAGATACACTCGACCCTTGTCACTACCCCTGCACCTGATGATGAGCACACCACTCACATTATTGTTGGTAAGAAGGACACTGATAAATACAAGCAGGCTCTTAGAATCCCAGGGATTGAGATAGTGAGTCCAGAGTGGTTCTGGGATTGTGCTGAGAGATGGAAGAGGTTAGATGAAGATGAGTATCGATTAGATGGAGAAAGGAAAGTAGAATTAAAACAGGAGACTAGTGAGACTAAGCTACAAGATAATAAGAAAGTTAACGATGTGAAGAGGAGAAAGGGAAGGAGGGAGGAGGAGAAGGACAGTAAAGGGAAAAGGAAAATGACTCCTCCGAGACAAAAAGCTAAACTAAGACATGACACGACTCCACCTCCTTTTGAAAGAAAATTCTCAGTCTCTAGTGCTGAACTGGAGCTGATGGAGGCTGAGATTGATGCTGAACTAGAAACTGATGATGATGAAGATGATGATGAAAGGATTGGTAGTTATATTCAGCCAGTCAAAGATGAAGATGAAGACTCTTTTAATGCATACCTAGGTCTGGAGGAACCATCACAATCAAGGAGCTCTTCAAGGAAGAGGAAGCGTATACCTGATGATGACCCTTGCTCCAGTGATTCTGTATCTGATTCAACCAGTGATGATAGTGATGATGAGCTCTCTGCTTTACTGGAGTTTACTTGACATATACTCCCATTGTATTTCCTCCATCCTTCTCTTGTTTTCATACCATTTTTACTTGACCTTTCACAGTTCTCTCTCTCTCTCTCTCATTCCATTCTATTTTTCCCCTCCTTTTATAAGTTGACATGTTTTTATTATAGAAAGCTCCTCTTGAGTTACATATTGTGCCAATGTTTCCCCACTGGATTTTGGCATAATACTTAGCTATGCTGCTAAGTATTTTGCTTGTGAAGCTGAATATTATGCTTGTGAGTCTGCTTGTGAAGTTGCTGCTTATGCCTTTGGCATGCATTTTTGTGGGGTGTGGCATTACATGTCTATAGCTAGGAGAGAATTGTAATTACATTTTCTAAAACATAGGCAACACAGAATGTTAAAAATAATTTTTATAAAAATTTCATTTTTTTGGAGTCACTTCAGAATTTTGCCAGCAAAGACCATGGGCGTCTTTCACCAGGTAGTGAAAACACTGTGAAAGAACCCTCTTTAAGTAATTTGGCACAGTATTATACATGTAACGACAGAAATAACATCATAACCTATTTTTATTAATGATATACATGTAGCTAGAAATAAAATTTGTGAGTGTATAATTCTTAAGTTCTTGATAAGTGAGGATTATATTGACTGTTGTACCTTTTACAAAGAATTAATAAAAACATGATGAGCTAATTATTATACCCATACCTTCCTGTTGTTGCTTCTTCCTTCCTTTCCTGTGCTTCTTCAAGCCCATAGTGTTTTTTCATCAATGCATCACTTCTTACTTTCTCTGCACCTTCCCTTCTCTTTCTTTCAGCTCTCAGCCTCTCCAGCACTGCTTTCTTCTCCTCCTCTCTCTTCTTCTTTTTCTTCTTCTTGCTCTTCTCTGGTGGCTCCTCTCTATCTTTGGAGGTTGCTGCTTTAGGAGTGACAGTGCTCAAAGATGATGAAGAGCTTGAGTCCAAGCACTTTCTCTTAGCATCAACATATGACATCATGTCATTAAGTGGATCCATACGTGCTTTCTTCTCTTCATGAGACCTTATGAAATAACAGATACATTACTAACTACAATGTCAGTATGTGAAGTTTTACATTAATACAATCATTTCCCGTATAGTACTCACGCTTTTATAAATTTCAAAGTTCAAAACACCTAGTTTATTTTTTGATAAACATATATGAACTTATGCTGTGTGGAAAATTTGAGCTGATTTCATCAAAGTTGGATTTTAAAAGTTGCTCCAAAATCTGGCTAAAATCCTGCCATATGTAATTAGTAACGCGGTAGCGTTACTAAGTAGGATTCACCCCCAAACAAAATTGCTGCCACGACTTTTGCATTCTTAGTAGTGCTTAGCTTACTAAGCACTAGTGACCTAAAAAGCATGCTTCAAGAGCTGATAAGCCTTATAATAGCACCGTATGATAGCAGGTAATTCTGAGGGGTAAAATTCTGGCAAATTTGATTGGAATCAACTCAAATTTATATTAAGCCTAAAGACATGTAGAAAAAATTATAAAAATGAATAATAGTACAAGGGCTTTGGCCAGATGTTTTAGTAATGTCAAAAATACATAATAAATCCAAAGCTGATCGGAATCAACTCAAAATTTGAATTGAACCTAAGGACATGTATGTGTATCAGAAAAGTGAAAAACTCTCTTCTAGCCATTTTTGATAAAATTTGGCCAAATTTTGAGTAACTTTAAAAATTCATAAAAAATAAAAATTTGATCAGAATCAATTCAAAATTTATGATACACATTGTATGTGCATCACAAAAAAAATTATAAAAATGAAAAATTCTCTCCTAACCATTTTTGACAAAATATTTTGAGTAACTTCAAAAATTCATAATAATTTCAAATTTGATTGGAATCAACTAAAAATTTAAATTTAACCTAAGGACATGTATATGCATCAGAAAAGATGATAAAACTGGAAAATTCTCTCCTAGCCATTTTTGACAAAATTTGGCTAAAGACCCTGTGCTATAGTACAGGCCGGGGCTTTAGCCAGATTTTTGACTTATTTCAAAAATTCATGAAAAATCCAAATTTGATCGGAATCAACTCAAAATTTATATTTAACCTAGAGACATGTATGTGTATCAAAAAAGATGATAAAACTGGAAAATTCTCTCCTAGCCATTTTTGACAAAATTTGGCCAAAGACCCTGTGCTATAGTACAGGGACTTTAGCCAGATTTTTTAGTAATTTCAAAAATTCATTAAAAAATCCAAATTTGATTGGAATCAACTCAAAATTTATATTTAACCTAGAGACATGTATATGCATCAGAAGAGATTATAAAACTGGAAAATTCTCTTGTAGCCATTTTTGACAAAATTTGGCCAAAGACCCCTAGCTTCTTGAGCAACTTCAAAATTCATAAATTCATAATAATAATTAGTATAATGCTATCATAATGTTTTTATACCTTTTGTCTTTTCTGTCTTTCTTTTTTGCATACCACGGCCCTTCTGAGGATGCTCCTATAATAGTAGTTTGTCATTAATCACAAAATGATGCAAAAAAAGTTGTCATATCATTTTAACATTAAATATTGCGTCATGAAGGCATGCATACATTAGTTCCATTAGCTTATTGCCAACAAAAGTAAATAACCGATAATAATTCTTTTAACTTGATAAGTTACATTAATATTACATATAAATGTAAATACACCATTCACCAATTTCATCAGTTAAGTTATGTTACTGGTCTTACATGTATTTTGATTCGATCAAATGTTGCAAATTCTAAAAGTAGTTGTTTCACCTTCTTTGTCCACAAGGTAAGTGAGTATTCCTGTCTTCTTCTCCCAAGTCTCTTGTTCTTGCTTTAGCTCTTTCTCATGGTCAGGATTTACTGATCCTTCTAAACCAACCTGACAGAAATAAAGCACAAGAAAGATATGTCTAGTCATGTACCGTATAGTGGGAAATTTTGGAGGGAATTAAATTTGGCAAATTTGGCACTTTGATAGCCATTCACCAAAATAAAATCTGCCATTTTGAGCCATTATACGAATGCTCAATGGCACAAGACCACTAATTTGCCAAATTAAAATCCGCCAATCACCAAAATTTAGCAATTCATCAAATTTAACTCCCTCCAAAATTTTCCATTATACAGTAATTACAATTATTGCGTAGATAGCTTACTTACTCCAGTTTTCATGTCAGCAAAAAAGTTAATGTGTCTATCGGTTTCCACTGGAGCAGCTTTAGTCTCAGAAGTCCCTCCAGTTCTTATTAGGTCCTCATACTGTCCTCTCTGCTGCTCTTCTCTTGCTCTCTTTCTCATAAACTCAATCTTTGCCTCTTGTTCCTATGGAAATAATGTATAGTGTATTGTTTGAATGATTGGAAAGTGCATTTGTGACCACTAATGTTAGTTAGTGAGTGTGCAAATTGGAAAATGGTGCCGAAACATGACGACTGGCAAAACTTCCCAGCCCAGTTTCCCCTCTAAAAAATTTAAATCAATTGCATTGTTAAACTACTCGTACTCTTGAAACTCAACTGTAGCAAAGTATTGCATTAAAGTTATAAAGTATTATGGGTCAATACACAGTGACACAGTGTGCGATATCATACAGCTAGTGCAGCTCTCTTTGCTTTCTCTTCCTCCTGCCTTTTGGCTTCAGCCTCATCTCGTCTGACCCTCTCAAGATTATCACGAGTGAGAACATGCCAACTGTAAATAAACAGTAAATAAATCTACTAAATACACAAATTCACCTTTTCTTTGGTAGAATGTTCATTTTTTATTTTGAAGGAGTGGCTAGCATTTGGCCACACCCATCTAGAGCAGCATGGCCCCATGCACCAAAACTCAGAGGGCCAATAATTATGGAGAACGCCTAAAGAATAATCCAACTTTTATCAAGTGATCTTGAAGCACACATTGTGACACTCTATGACTGAATTCTCTACAGCTCCACCCTCCCTTACTGAAGATCAACACAACAAAAAGTCTCAAAGACATGAAATAATTATAATTACTGGAACTCATACTAATTAATCGTGCATACTAATTAATTGTCACAGTCTAACCAATGCTTAACTCCTCCATCGTTGTTGTTACTGATTCCACCATCACCTCCTTAAAATGTGGGCCAGATCAAATAGAACAGCTTTATAGACTGAACCATATCCTGCATGATGACAGCTGAGGTCATCATGCCTATATCCAGCACTAGCAACTTGTAACAAGTGTCCTGACTGACTCTTTAATGGCTTCTTGGATCTCCTTATTCTCAAAGTCAGCTTCATCGCATGGTTTCACCCATGGCATAGCCAGTCCATAACGACCATTCAGCCTCAGAACTCTGCATCACATCCCCAAACTCTTTTCCAGATATCTGCTTCCTGATCAAGCATCTTTTTATCTTTTGAAAATTTAATGACAAACACTTCCCCTTTCATAGTTGCTGCGAGCCATACTCTCCCATCTGCACCACCACCAAGATCAGCAAGAAGGAACACATTTTGAAACTGTGGTAATCGACTACCACAGTACTTAAGTTTAACATCATGACATGATTGGGTGTGTCCCAGGTCCACTCTTCCTTTCCTATGTAAACATAAGACCTTTCTTTGTTAAAAGTAGACAACCGAATAGGATCTACTGGTCATGATGTCATTTTTAAAAGGGCAGAGATGAGAAGGTGACTGAGGCAAGTCAGGATCATTCCATTTGTGTTCCAACTACTTTCCATTCTACAAACGACTCAGAAGATTGTTGACCATAAACTGAGGACACAAATGCCTCTTACTCCAGAACTATGATATGGTATAGGTAAGCTGTTGCTTCCAGTTAATGCCAGTTATAATAACTTGTGATACCAAATTTATACATTACATTTTTCCCTTTTCTCTCTTACCCTCCCCCTCTTTCACCCTTTCTTTCTGTCTCTTAACCATTTCCTCTCTCCTTCCCTTAGGCATGGGATATGTATGGTGTGTTTTTTGCTAATCATCCTGACTTGAGAAGGATATTAACTGATTATGGATTTGAAGGACATCCTCTTAGAAAAGATTTCCCATTGAGTGGATATGTAGGAGTAAATACCATATACGCCATATGGTATAAAATTTCACGATTTGGCTGCATTTTTGTATTTGCAGATAATTTTTTTGTGATTTTAATGTAATTACCGCACCTACTATAATCAGCATGCTATTTTACAGATTTTAGTTTCATGAATTTCTCCAAAACGTGAAAATCATGAAATTTAATTCCCATAAAATATATGGCGTATAATGGTACAATCATGCACAATGTGGAGATTACAGAAGTATCACTGTCGTTACATTCATGTTAACTCTTGTTTCTCTTTCTTCATTATGCTAGGTAAGGTATGATGATGAAGTGAAGAGGGTTGTCTGTGAACCTGTTGAACTCACTCAAGTTTTGTGCCAACCAACAATTTAAATAGAAACTACCATAACAGCAAGTGTACACATAATATCTAAATTGTATAATAGTAATAACAAAAATAATAGTACTAATAATAAAAATAAGTAATAAATAATAATTATCTGTCATTTCAAGGTACATACAGACACAAGTTTGTCAAAAAAATGTTCAGCGTTTGATGAATCAAGTACTTTTCTTTTGTCTTCATTGAATTCCTTTGTCGAACAATAAGCATAATGCATGACGAGTTTACCATTAAACAAACGTGCTGGTGACATGAATGGTAACGGGTTCATTAGGACATTGTTGAGCCTCAGTGCATCGTAATAAGTACAGCTCCATTGTGCAAAAGTATGCAATGCTTTCAGCCACTTTTCATCCCTTCTATGATCAGGTACCTTATTAGAAGGACATACTGTTTCATTGAAGGAGCAATGAATAAAGCACAAAACTAATGCCTCAATTAAATGAATATCAGGATGAGCATGCTGTGACCAATAGTGCAACGACACTCCAACTAGCTTCCATTTTGACTCTAACTTTGCCTGAACTTCAAGAGGTGTCTTCATTACTTTAAAAAGTAAGTCGATTCTTTTATCTTTATTGAGGCCTATCATGTCATCAATATACGGTAAATTGAGGTGGCTGACATCAGCCCAACTGACCCTTTCCTCAAGAGGTTCTTCATTGGTAATTGTTGTTTCTATTACTTCTGGTTTTGATAAGTATGGTGACAGTATCATATAAATACATTTCCTGATGTGTTTTCCTATCCTTGTTGCTGTGTAATCGTGTGGGTTATCAATCATCACTGGTACTAAATACTTGTTTAATACTATTATTACCATTACTGATGTAGCCATGAGTCCTTTACGATATCGTTGCTCTATAATATCAGGAAGCAGAGTACCATTTGCTGTCTTCAGGTTTTTACTCTCTAAAAGGTCGGCCATACTGATTTCTCCTATGTCATACATTTCCTTTGCTTTCTTGTAGTTTTTACTGATAGCAATGGTTGTATCATCACCACAGGTTTTAGATAAATGCATTGTAAAATCTGTCACAGTGTTGAAAATTGAAATGTAATATAACATTTCTATTTTATCGTCCTTTCTTTTTTCTCCTATTTGTGTTCCTTCTGTTATAGCTCTCCACTTAGTAGCTTCTATGTCTCTTTTCAAAGAAGGTGAGTCTACTTTATCCATGAAATCGTTTCCCATAATGGCTGGTATGAGGTATATAAGATCTGGGTTGTGATCAAAATAAAATTTATAGGCGAATCGATCTCGTTCATATAATTTGGCTTTCACCGGTTGTTGATTCAAGTCGAGAAAATCCAATGGAATATATCCAGCTTTTAAATTGAAGATGAAATAATCGGAATCATTGGCAACGACTGGACAATTGTAGTGGTTAGCGATTCGGGCTGTGCCTTGGTCTGCATCTCCATCAGCAAATATAAACTCAACTCCAAGCTCTTTTAGAGTCTCACAGAACACAATATCTGTGAATACTGGCAAAGCAGAACCTGATGGTCTTTCATCATGGCTTAACATTGCTTTGAAGATATTTTTTACTTTTTGTTTTTTTCGACACAGCTTAGTAGCACTTTTCTCTTGATTATAATCAACCCCATCAAATATCACAATGGGGTCTATAACACTATCTCTGAGTCTACTAAAGAATCTTATAACACGGTCCCTCAGTTCCCCATACTGTCCACCATGTATCCATTCCAGCTCTTTGGAGGTAGATAGTGTTCTGCTGATACTCTTCCCATCTAGAACGAGTTTACCTCTCGGTGTAATGGTTCTCCAGGTCCTCGATGGATAGTGTTCTTCGATGAGCGTTGTTAAGTACTGGATCCCCATTTTTGTTCAAATTGAAATTTGTTGAGTCATATGCTGCCATAGCAACAAACGCCATAGCAACAAACGCCCATTTTTCCTTAAAATGGATTGTTTTTTAGCTGCAGCCTTGTTCTTTCTATGTTTCAACTTTTCTGGCGGAAATTCAAGGAATAGTATAGTAAAGCCCAACATTGCTAGCAAATTTTGTGGTTACTTTCTCAATTGTTTCTAAGAATAAGTGTTCTTTATATGCAAGAATTTGATTACAACCGAATTTAAAGTAAAATACAAGTTGCCAGCAACATGTTGCCTAGTGTATGCTGGGCTAAAGGTTTTCTGTTCAAGGCAACATCATGTATTGCTTGACCGGCACATCAAAGCATGATCAAAGGCTGGGTAAATCTCAAAAGAACATTGTTGAATGCAGTGTATGTTGGTCTTTAGTCAATTTCAGATGCCTAGGAAAAATATTTTGTTTTTTTTCTTTACTGATCCTATATCTATGACTGGATTTAGAGGGGCTTCACTCATGCTCACCAAAATTAATTACTAGTATTCATGCATTCATCAGTCAGTGGGGCCCGGGCTGGCCTGTGGGTGTATGATCATGTGTGACTTCATATTATTAATCTAATTGAGCCTGGTCAGCCTGTTGGCAAAACAACAAATTTTGTAATCAACACAAGAATTTGACTTTTAAAAATAATAACATGACCAAATTGTCCAATAATGAAGGAAACACACTGTATAAGAGCAATAATAATTTTTTATGAATTGTTAAACCTTGCAGTCATACAAGGCCTTGGCAGGTATTCTCCAGCCAGTTCCTTGGTCTTGCAAGCTAGTAATAGCAACCTCTCTTTACATGATAATGGTGCAATTACTACGTGTGTGTGTGATAAAAACAAAATCAATACAAATGGTTGGTATATTAAAAAAAGTTCTCACCATTTTTAATAGTAACAGTGGCAATGTTGGACATACCAAGAGTATATGCACCAGCATTAACAGGTGATGGGATAATTCTCAATCTAAAACTCTCATCAGATTCATTATCATCATTATAAGGTATAGATATATTAGTGCACACTATTCGTTCACCACTTGTATGATTTACAGTGATCTGAGAATCTGCAATGAAGTCTATACCACGAACTACAGAGAAGGGAAAGAAAATAAAAACGTTAAACTCAGCTATTGCATATACCTGCAGTTACATCTTCAACTTGAATATAAACGATGCTCTGGGATGATATGTGACTCATATCTTTCACAAGACAGATTTCTGCAGAGTCTCCTTCATTGGCAGTTATTGATGTAGACTGAAAGTCATACCTAGGCTCATTTGCAGCTAAAAGTAGAAAGAGAAACAGATGTCAATCTAAATTATTATTAGGCTAACCAATCAGTTGAAAGAGTTGCAAAAGTACAATCAAATAAAGCAGCATAATTATCTATAAGCAGAAAAATATCTGAATAATAGCTACACTGAATGAGAGTCCAAGAGATGAAATGGCCTTCTCTCTATTTATAGTTAAAGGAAATGTGTAGTTATTAAGTAGTTAATACTTGTCATTAATAATGTTAATAACCTCCCTATTATGATAAGCACACCCCGAATTGCCACCTACTGTTTTAAAAAATATTGTCATAATTATTTTGAGTGATAAGGGCTGCCCTGCACTACAACTGTGACTCCATGCAGCAGTGTTCTGCAGTTTGAGGAGGGTTTATGTTTTTTCCAATTCTTCACCTGACACTCTCTAAAAAGAGAGAGAAAAGAGAACTTTACTTTGCCTCCAAAAATCTCCCTCCTTACCTAGAGCAATAAAATTCACTACAGCATCTCTTATAGTAGCCTCACTGCCACAGACTGCACATTTTGGTGGGCCATCAATCAATGCTGGTATTTAAAACACCATTGCTATACTGATCAACCCACCTCAAAAATAAACAATAAATACTTGTTCCTCCTTCCATTCTTTTCCTTATCTTGTAGCCTGGCTGAGTCTCTAATATCTCAGGGTCTGGCTCTAGTAAGATCTTGCAGTAAATTCATTCCATTTCTCTTCCCCTTCTTTCATAATTTTGAACCTGGTGTATGTGTGTAATAAATGAATGGGTGGACTCAAATAAATTTGTTCAAGAATGAGTCCAGTATTGGCAGGAGGTGGCTCCATCAGTGACAGCTGCTGAAGGTAACACTGAAGTGTGGGATTCACTCTATAACAGGATCAGTTAGATACCCTCTGCAACTAAAACAAAAATAAATAAAACTGAGAAGACACTATCATGAAAGCGCACCTTTAATAAAGAGAGTCAAGGACAGAAAACGAGTTCATAAACGTCCAGTAATATAATGTACAATTGAGGTGTACATTAAATTGGACAGTCTCCTTCTGTCTTCCTAATATTACAGACCTCCTCAGGTCAGATTGACGGTAGCCTATGAATATCATTACTGTTTTTACAGTATCCACCTACATGTGATGATTGGCCACCATTTTGGACAGCAAGATTCAATGGAGGATAACAAAGAAAAATCAAAACTAATTCTTTTCATTGACATGGAGCTTTTTCAAGCTACAACAGCTGGTTGGAGGAAAGAGTGGTTGCTGCTCAGCATTTCCTTAAAGGGATTTGGTGCAATATGAAGCATATTCTTTATTACAGCTTGCTTCTGCATTACTTCTTCTGGTTTCTCATGATTTTATTGTATGATAATCCTTAATGAACTTGTCACTGTGTTTTGAAACTTTTAGTACAGCTTGCATTGATAGTTTCTCTAGTCTTTCACTCTGCAATGATCACCTACATTTTGTATAGTAAAATAGGAGTCCTACTAAAAGCCTAAAACCTGGAGCCGGAACTGGAGATGAGTGCTAAAAACCGGAGCAGGAGATGATTGTTAAAAACCATGACCACAAGCACTAAGGAGACCTTTACCTCATCTCTCTATCATCCTCCAGAGTTATCATGTGACTCCCATTGGTGTGGTCATTGTGTCTCAGTATATGACTAGTGATAAGGAAACTCAGCAATGACATTCAGGGACCCTCTACCAAACACTCTGTACCAAATGATGCCACCATTATCAACCCACCCGGCAGTGTCTTTGTACCTGATAAGATGATCCTCAGGTACTACCGACCAGACTAGAACTGAAAGAACAGAATACCTCCTCCTCCTGAAGCTCCACAACCACCGAATAATGGTAATAATAATAATAACAATCTGTGCATGGGAAAAATTGCTGTCTCTATAGTTTTATCTTAACTGTAATGTTTGGATACTTGAAGCTACTCTGGAATTCTAAGGCAAAAGAGGGTGCTATTGAAAATATGATAGAGAATGGAACTAAACCTCGTGAGTTTGTTGAGAACCCTATTGAACGTAATGACATTGCAGAAAGGATTAAGAACACATTTATTCTTGGGCAGGGTACTAAAAGGCATTTGGAGTGATTCTTGAGGTCCAACTGGAACAGGAAAGACATATGTCATTAGGGAAGCAGATTGTCAGAATCCTAAAGGATCCCTTTACTTTGAGATTAGTGGAGTGGAAATTTTTCCAGAGCAGTTGGCTAAGGCTGCTTGTGTAAGGATTGAACCCACCTTCTGGAGTGTTGTGTTAGGCAAACATTTCCCGTCCTCTCTTGGCTACTATCCACTTCCATCAGACTACATCAAGAGTTTAGAAGCAGTGATTGATATTTTGGTGCTGTTTTCAAAAAGAAGCACAGACAATCTCTTTGTTTGTTCATTGATGGGGTAGATTTACTTAATTACAAAGCACAATTGTGAAGCATTTATAAAACTGGTTGGGACTGCTAAAAAATGCAAATGCTGGGTGTATTCGTATCGTATTCGTTGTTTGGAAGGTTACGTAATGCATCTTGTTCATAGTACGTCTTCAAAAACTCGAGTTAAGGTAATGGAAGAACTGGAGTTACCAGAAGATAAAGCTGTTGACTACCTCAGGGACAAAGGATTACCAACTTTGCTGTTGCTGATCAAGTAACAAAGGAAATAGGATGTCAAATAATATTTTAGTTTAAGCCGTTTCGTTTTATCATGAATACAAGTCACAATGTAGTACTGATGATGATCTATTAAATATAATCATCAATGTCATTTCCTGTTTACTGACCAGAGATATTCTGAAATAGTAATGCACAAGTCACATCCATAATCATTATTAAACATTTGCTAAAGTTTGATAGAGCAACTGGAGTTGACCCTCAACTTGGTCTCAATTATTTCTTGACAAATTTGGTGATGATGCATGTAGAAAGAACATGAAAGAGGCTCTTCAGTTATTGGTAGGTAGCAATGCTTTGAGGTACACAAAGGAAGGAAAAGTGACTAGGCATAGCAAGATGATGGAGGAGAAAGTCAAAAAAACTTGAAGCTAAAAAAAACAACAGTTGTGAACTATTAGTTTTCTCTTTAGAATCGACACAAAAATTGAATACCTTAAGGAGACAATTATTAGTGTGTACTTATTTTAGCGATTTTCATGATAATTACATTTGGCTAGTATTTAATTTAGCATTTTGATCATTTAATATTAATAATTTAATTAGAATTAAGTTTGCAATTTTTATTTGCTGAGTTAAATACCCGCAAACAATTGTGTCCTTAAGGTAATTCATTAAGCAATTTTAACCCCGCCTACGTATCCCACCCCAGTTAGTAATCCAACATAGTAGAATCTTGCCGAACTACTAATCTAAAGGCTATAATGTGATATTTAATAATCACTTACCCATCTCATCCGAGTTAGGGCCGAGTCATCTCTAGTCTCGCCACGCCCCTTCGCTGCAGGACCCAATTGATGCCAGTTTCATCTGTTTCAGCCCTCCAATAAATGCTTCTGCTTCACTGGAGAACAAACTTGATCTCTAAAATCAAGAATAAATCAGAAAAAAAATTATATAATAATAAAAAGGCTTACTATCTTATAAAATAATTGTGACATGCAACTCCCTGATGGGCGGGGCATCTACTTTTAATTTTCCAATTAATGCGCACACAAAAGATCAGCAACATCAGCCGAGACATCAGCTGAATTTCTTTTCCAGTAGACTTTTATATAGCCTGGTGGAGGTCAGTAATAAATCTCACTGTATTTTTAGCTCTCCTGCATCTCTTTAGCTTTCACCAGTGATCAATTGAGGTGTTGACAGCCAGTGTAGTCAGGACTCCAGTTGGTAGTTACTCTCTTCTCTCCCTGCAACCAGACTGGGATCCATTGCCATACAAGAGGCAATTAATAGAGCTGGAATAATACCTGAAGATGTGAGGAATAAATATTGAATTATACACATGGGCTTATTGGGCTGTGAGCTCAGAGCAGGACAAGGTCAGGTTCCAGCACATCAGGCCACACTAGGGGCTGGGCTGCCAATCTCCACTCCATGCACAACAGTGAACAAGGTATTCACCTCTGGAACAATGATGGGAGCCCAAGCACTTGCCTGTGGTATCCAGGACTGCATGAATTAGGTGGAATGGAGTCCATGAGTAATGTCCCATATTACATACCTAAGGGATGGCCTGGTTTTGGGCATCAAACAGTTGAGGATGAATCTTAAGAATGTACTGTGGGACGTTTATAATCAATTTCACATGGGAATGTGTGCCAAAGACACTGCAGAGAAATACGAGATTAGTGGACTCAAGCAGGACAAGTATACCATGAGGCCGTAAAAATTAGCAGCTCAAGCCTCTGAGAGTAGACTACTAGCAAAGGAGATAGTGCAGAGAAAGGGAAACCTTATTTAGTTGTTGAGCATTACCATCATATAAAGCTAACTTTGAGAAATCTTGAATCTTAACCCAGCCTTTAAGAAGGAGTCTGATAGCGGTACAGTGACAGCTGCTATTGCCTCAACATGATGAAGGAGAAGCCTGTGTACTTGCATCAGAGTCATTTGATTCCTCAAAAAGTACCCAGCCTCTTGCAAGGATCATTTTGTTTGGTGTCTCCTATCAACTTTCCTACTGCACCAGCAGCTGCCATTCCTAAAGTCCTTGCATCTTGTGGACCTACTAGAAATGATATCAGTCTATTTGAGATCAACGAGGCATTCTCTGTTGTCGTCCTAGCGAATATTAAGATACTTGATCTTGATCCTAGCTGATCATGTTAGCTTGCATGCATGGTAGGGCCATATCACTGGGTCATCCAATTGGAATGAGTGGTACACGAGTTGTTGTTGCACATCTTGTCCACAATTTACAGAAAGGAGAGAAAGGGACAGCAGCCATTTGTAATGGAGGAGGAGAAGCAGCAGCCATTGTCGTGGAAAACTTTAATAATCAAACTTACTTGACATCGTTGCTAAATAACAATTACTGTTTCACCTTTACTAATAAAAATATTAAGTTTTAGCTGAAATCTATATAAAGCCAACTTGAAACCATAGATAGTCTACTATGAGTACTATCTATGCCAAAACTATCAATAGTAACAACAACAATGATAATAATAATATACATACAAAATAGCTATTATTATAAACAGCAGAGTATTATACTCAAATTAAATAAGATGTGCATGTAGATGTATTTATTACTTCCACTCTCAGTAGAGCTAAATTAGAACACTATATACTTGCACTTAGGAATGGTGCAACCAGGATACAATAACTGCTATGGTGTCTCATGCAAACTATAGCTATGAGAGGCAGTGGAAGGAAAGGTAGAGTGAAAGAAAGAAAAAGACTTAGAGAAATTTAAAATGTAAATATTCCAGTGCTACATTACATGCACGCAAATGTAATTGATTCATGATCTACTACTATATAATACTCATGAATCACATATTGTCCACACACACACTCACAAACACACACATACATACACAACTTATGGGTACAAACTACTGTATAGTAGTCTTGCATAGCCAGCGAGACTACTACTGTAGTATCCCAGAAATCATGTGACTATAGAACCCTGAATTATAATTAAAATGTAATGTTATAATGTATGCCTAGACTTAATCATTGGTTGTATGTCTTGTTTGTAGTGGATCCTTTCTTAATATTTTGTGTTAATGTGAAACTATTTTCTAATTTGTGTCTTAGTATATGTAAATGTTTGATTCTCTTTTTGTTGGTTGATCTTTTGATTGTTAATAATCGTATCTACAACAGTATTATACAACAATAACTGCAAAGGCTGGTTTCCATATAGCCCTACAACAGCCTTACAACACTGTTCCAACAATCATGGAGATAGAAATCAGTCCTATCTCTATGTACAATTGCTTCAAGGCAACTCATGATCCTATTGAATGGATATTAGTGTAAAACACTGCTTTTATGGCAAATAAATGAAATAATCAAAACAGTAACAAATGAATACAATAAAAGAAATGGGTACAATGATACTTAACATAGTCTTTGCTCATACTCTAATCACTAGTGAGGGCAATAATAATAGTTTAGGTACATACAGACATAAGTTTTTCAAAAAGAGTTTTGGCACTTGAAGACTCCAGGATTTTTCTTTTGTGCATAATAAATTCCCTTGTGCAAGCATAATGCATGATGAGTTTACCATTAAACAAAAGTGCTGGTGACATGAATGGTAACGGATTCATTAGGACATTGTTGAGCCTGAATGCATCATAATATGTGCTCTTCCATTGTGCAAAAATGTGCAACGCTTCCAGCCACATTTTATTTCTTTTGTAATCAGGTAAATCTGACGAGGGACATACTGTTTCATCAAAGGAGCAATGAATAAAGCACAGAACCAATGCCTCAATTAAATGAATATCAGGATGAGCATGCTGTGACCAATAGTGCAACGACACTGCAACTAGCTTCCATATTAATTCTGATTTTATAAAGATCATCTGGACTTCAAAAGGTGTCTCCAATACTCTACAAAGTATTTCAATTCTTTCATTTTTGCTGAGATACTGCATGTCATCAATATACGGTAAATTGAGCCTGACATCAGTCCATCGGACCCTTTCCTCACGAGGGTGGGGATCCTCCATATGATGAGTAAACGTGGTTTCTATTACTTCTGGTTTTGATAAGTATGGTGACAGTATCATATAGATACATTTCCTGATGTGCTCTCCTATCCTCATTGCTGTGTAATCGTGTGGGCTATCAACCATCACTGGTATTGTAGACTCGTTCAATACTAGTACTGCCATTACTGATGTAGCAAAGCATCCTTTGCGATACTCTTGCCTTATAAAACGAGGAAGCAGAGTACCATTTGCTGTCTTCAGATTTTTGCTCTCTCTAAGGTCGACCATACTGATTTCTCCTACGTCATACAATTCCTTTGCTTTCTCATAGTTTTTCTTGATGCTGCAAATCTCACTGTCTTGGCAGACTTCAGATAAATGAGTCATGAAGTCTTTGACAGTGTCAAAAGTGGAAATGTAGTATAACATGTCTAGCTTCTCATCTTGCTTCATTTCTGTTCCAGATATTTTCGCTTTCTGAGAAGCATCAGCAATCGCGCCACTTAAACTTCTTGGCTTCATTCGCTTCATGAAGTCATTTCCCATAATGGCTGGTATGAGGTAAATAAGATCTGGGTTGTGATCAAAATAAAATTTATAAGCAAATTGATCTCGTTCGTATAATTTGGCTTTCACCGGTTGTTGATCCCAGTAGAGACAATCCAATGGAATATATCCAGCTTTCAAATTAAAGATGAAATAATCAGAATCATTGGCAACGACTGGACAATTGTAGTGGTTAGCTATTCGGGCTGTGTCTCGGTCTGCGTCTCCATCAGCAAATATAAACTCAACTCCAAGCTCTTTTAGAGTCTCACAGAATACGATGTCAGTGAATATTGGGACAACAGAGTCTGTTATTCTATCTTCTAAAATTGCATTAAAGACCTTTTTAACCTTTTCTTTCTTTCGGTGGAGCTTTGTGTCACTTTTCTCTCGATTATAATCAACCCCATCAAATATCACAATGGGGTCTATACCACTATCGCTGAGTCTTCTGAAGAATCTTATGAAGTGGTCCCTCGGTTCCCCATACTGTCCACCATGTAGCCAGTTTTTGTCGATTACGATTTCACTGACATTTTTACCATCCAATACGAGTTTGCCTCTTGGTGTAACAGTTCTCCAGGTCCTTGATGGATAGTGATGTTTAATGAGCGTTGTTAAGCCTTGAATTCCCATTAGGCTCCTGTGTTGTTTCTAGCTATTTCCCGATTTTAGGCGATTATGAATAAGCTTCCTTGTATGTTTTAGAAAACAAAACAAACTTGCTAGACCACGTGACTATTAGCCTTCGCTATTAAATTATCTTGATACCGGTAATTAATCATACATACTATGAATTAATTATAGTCATAGCATAAGTTATGTTAGTACAGCATACACATGCTCATACAGAACACAAATGTATCAAAAATGTTTTAATATCATTATACAAAGACTAGATTAGGGGCTGGAGCCAAGACTATCCTAAGACTTAATATAATTCTGCAAGCATAAAGTATGACCAGTACCATTAAACAAAAGTGCTGGTAACATGAATGGTAACGGATTCATTAGAACATTGTTAAACCTCAGTGCATCATAATCGTCACATTCAAACTCTGTGCCACTCTCATACCACGGTCTCATAGGAGAATTAAGGAGCTACCACATGATTATACAAAAGTATGCAATGCTTCCAGCCACTTTTCACTGATCCCTTCTATGATCAGGTACCTTATTATAAGGACATACTGTTTCATTGAAGGAGCAATGAATAAAGCACAAAACTAATGCCTCAATTAAATGAATATCAGGATGAGCATGCTGTGACCAATAGTGCAGCAACAAACTAACATAAATGAAAGTCTCAAGAACATGAAATAACTATTGCATATAATGATACATAAACATTAATTAATTGTCACAAATTTATGCTCAAGTCCTTCATCATTATCACTACTGATTCCTCCACTGCCTCTTTATTGACACTTAAAACATGGGCCAAATCAAAGAGAACAGCTTTATAGACTGAGCCAGTCTTATACAATCCCACGTGACGGCGCCTGAGGTCATCGTGCCTATATCCAGCACTAGCAAGTGTCCTGACTGACTCTTTAATGGCTTCTTGGATCTCCTTATTCTCAAAGTCAGCTTCATCACATGGTTTCACCCATGGCATAGCCAGTCCATAACGACCATTCAGCCTCAGAACTCTAGCATCACATCTCCAAACTCTTTTCCAGATATCTGCTTCTTGCTCAAGTATTACTTCATCTTTTGAAAATTTAATGACAAACACTTCCCCTTTCATAGTTGCTGCGAGCCATACTCTCCCATCTGCACCACCACCAAGATCAGCAAGAAGAAACAGATCTACATTTTGAAACTGTGGCAATCGATTATCACAATATCTAAGACTACCCTCTTGAGTGGGTTCATCCCAGGACCACTCTTCTTTTCTTACGTAAATGTAAGACCTTCCCTTGTCAAAAGTAGACAACTGAACAGAATCTACTGGTGATAATGTCATTTTAAAAAGGGCAGAGATGAGAAAATGAAGCAAGTCAGGATCATTCCATTTAATGAGCGGTGTTCCAATTAGTTTCCGTTCTGCAAACGACCCTGAAGATTGTTGACCATAAACTGAGCATACGAATGCCTCTTGACTCTTGCTCCAGTCGGGTACTTCAGTTGTGATTTTATATGAAGGATTTCTTACTCCAGAACTATGATGATAAGATGGTGTGGGTGAACTTGCAAATCCATTACTTTCAGATAACCAAACGACACGCCAGTTATAATAACTTGTGAGGATACCAATAGGATGACGGCTTCCCGTGTATGTTTTAATGTACTTAAGGTAATCGTAGATCTGGCCAATAACTTTTTCATCATCTAAGCTTCTTCTACTGGATGACCCTGGCTTCTTGACTACCACTACACCAATCGGAACCCCAAACATACGTATAGCAATTATGTTGATTCTTTGTGGATCAAATAATGACATTTCTTCCTCACATTCTAACGATTCTAAAAAAGGCATCCCTACTTCCACTATAATATCATACAAAAAAATCCGTCTCACGTATTGAACTAAGCAACCCTCTGAACTCCAAGTCAGATTATGCATATTGTGCTCCATCCATAATAACGATTGACGTTTTCCTGTTATTTTCACCCTCTCTATTCTACTAGGCCAGTTACATTCAATGAGTTTTGCTGGATCATGATCAGGAGTGGTGTAAGCTGAATTGCAGCCACATTGTGTCATAGGTGGAAGTCCGTGAGCCATTATATTGTCTCCTATAAATAATAAAAGTATTGTAGCATAAATTAAATAGATGTGAAGGGTGAAGGCTTGTTATAGCAAGATTAAACTTGATAAATTAGTATTACATCATTTACTTATAAATGTACACATCTACATCTACACATATTTTGTTGGTGTTTTCTACATACGCGGGTGCACATGTCAGACTCTGTACTATAGTATAGGGTATTTCACCAAAAACATATGGAGAAAATTCTTCATTTTTTCCTGATACATATACATGTACATGCATGTACATGTATATGTATCAGGAAAAAATGAAGAATGTTCTTATGTTGTGTAGAAAATTTGAGCTTATTAGTAACGCGGTAGCGTTACTAAGTAGGATTCACCCCCAAACAAAATGGCTGCCACAACTTTTGCAGCCTTGCTATACCGGGAAAACGAGCTCCTATGCTTACCAGACTTTATAGAGAACCTTATCTTGACCAGAGTTCCAATCAAAATTAGATTTTAATAAAATTGCAAAGTTGCATCCTGTATTATAGTACAAGATATTTCATCAGAACTGGCTAGGAGAAAACCCCTTATTTTGATATTTTTCCTGATATACATGCATATACATGTACTTACAAAATGTATGCTGTGTAAAGATAATGCTTGAATTGATGCTTAAAATAATTAACAAATAATTAAAATAATTAATAAAATTGATGCTTTGTCCCCAGATTGTAAAAGTTACACTTTGGTACAGTGACTAAAATAATAAGTGTGGCGTGAGACATGAAGTGTTTAGTAAGCTAATGCCAGATTCAATTATTGAAGTCTTACGGTTTGATAGCTTAAGGAACTGTATATTAAGATTTCAGACAGGGGCGTAGGCAGAATTTTTTTTGGAATGAGGGGGTAAGTGAGTGTGCCATAAAATTTTTATAAAACCTTCAATATGTAAGTTGCAGAGCAATTTTTCTTTCCAAAACAGCTTAATTTAAAATTTTAATTAAAAAAAAGTCCCTTGGCTATGCCCCTGTACTGTAAGACTACAAAGGTATTAGCTCAGTAGGGTTAATCATTACCAAATAGTGTAGAATTATTTTTGTGGTGCATTATTGTCATGGTTTCCAAAAGTATTACTCATACCATATATATAGCCGGTTTATTTTGAGAATAATAAATTTTGCAAATGACCTGTATCCGAAAGTTCGCAGAATTAATTTTCACGAATTTCCACTATTCTGTCATCTTGTTCCCTATAAATATCTAAAAATCTGCGAAATTCGTTATCCTCAAAATAAACTCGCTATACGGTATGTGTTACATCATGGATAGTAGAGCAGGGAAATGGATTGGAAATGCCTATATAAAGGCATGGACCATCCGCTATACCGGAAGCAATGAATTAACTACAATAACATGTTAATATGGCTCCTATTCAGTTGCTGCAGTCATCCTTAGAGCTTACAAAAGGCCAACTACAGAGGAAAGAGCAGTCAGTATCAATGAGATCACAATGTTCTGTTGCTCATGTCCTTCTGCTTTCTTTTTTGAAAGAAAATTACACCCTGGAGTCGCTTCTGTGGCTACAAAACTCTAGAAAATTTGATCAATATATAAAACACCTTAGTTTAGCACTCATTTAGGCTTTTATTATGATATAAAACTAAATAAGTACATACAAACAACTATAATGAACACAATTAAACTTATATTTCATTTGTAAACTGCTCAATCCTGATGCAAGAGGTGTACAAAGTATCACCTCTTTGTCAGTCATTAGTCTTGTCACAAACAGCTAGTTTTCACAAGTAGATCATGTAGAGTTGCACAAAAAAGTAGCATATGTACATATAATCAATCATATTTGGGCACAAAAATCCTTAAACCTGACCGAAAAAGTGATTGGATTTCTTACAAAAGGATAGAAAGATATAGATATATCAAGTAAGAGCAACTGCCATGACATAACAGATGGTCTACACCTTTGTATAGGCGTTTCCAATCTATTTCCTTGCTCTACTATCCATGGTTACATGCAGGCTTTGCGAACTGTCTACTAATGAACATGCAGTTGACCACAAGAATAAAATGACACAATATCAGACAAAGACTAGTACTAATGATCACACATTATCAATAACCTTTGAAAAATTCCATTGGATTGTCTTCAGTTGTATTTAAAGATACGACCTTTTCTTCATAGTCCAGACTCCTCCCGTTAAACTTTGCTGTCTGTTTCACCCGAGAATTAGCTGAAATTTTTTCCCAGCATTGATTAACGATTGATTCCTCATCCTCCACTAATATTTTTGAAACTTCACCGTTGTACTTTACCCAAACAGGATACTTTATGCTCCGATACCGATCCATAATAGCAAGCTATGGTGGCGGTCAAGCCATAGACTGCACTGTGACTGCGATAGAGCAAAAAGCAGGATTATACCACGTGGGCAACTTAACCCCACCCAGTTCAATTAAATGGGCGTGACGATCAAAGATTTTTATTGTTATAGGTGCGGTCTCTTTTCATAATTAGGCCTTTAGGGTGAGTCTATGTACAAAAGCTATTGTGAATTATCCGTCTCCATCTTCTCCTTCCCTCACTCTACAGTAGAGGACCGTCTCTTATGATAGTCTGACTGGTCCGTATTGAATCACTGGAGAATATGATGAGCCCCAGAGGAAGTCTTGTCCTTCTACTCTCACTTAGTTTATTTTTAACCCCTTTACTCAGCCTCTCTGGTGAGTCCAAAGAGTGCATAAGGCCTTGTTGAGGTCAATGATGTATTTGTGGCATTTGGTCTGAGGCTAGGCGGCATGTAAAGCTACTCTCCCTTGTTCACGCTCGTATAATGTTGCCACGGGAACAGTTCTTGTTGCCGTGGTAATTATTTACGACTTATGGTCGTTTGGGATGTGATGCTAATGTCTATCAGTTGCTATGGTAACTGTTAGAAGGAGTGTGCTTGCGTACCGTTAGCTCTTTGATTCAGCTTATCTACTCTGAGACCTCATAATGGACAGTACATACACGTTCATTATCTTAGTACATGTACTTCCATACTTTGTTGACCCTTTCTTTTTTTTTTTCTTTCTCCCCTTCTTTCCTCTCTCTTGTTCCTCTTAGGCCCATCGTTGGCGTTAGCTGATGATGCTGTTGTTGGTGAAGATGATGAAGTGATGTCAGTGGATGATGAAGAGGGAGAGGATGATGAGAATGTTGTATTACCAGACGCTGGAGAGGCTAGGGTAAGAGACTAGCACACACACACAATATACAATCACATCTTTTGTTCTTTATTTGGGTCTTTCAGCACATACACTGTCTCTTCTCTCTCATTTTATCTCTCCCCATTTTGTTTATATAATTGTGGTTTCTTAATGATTTCCTCTATTTTCATAATAATAATAAAGTATTGTGTACACACATAACATATTGCATGTGTGTGTAGGAATCAGGTGGTGATGGTGCTGGATCAGAAGAGGAAGAGGAGGAGGAGGAAGAAGAAGAAGATTTATATAAGCCATCGCCTGATGCTAAGACTGACATTATATTCACTAACAGAGCTGAAAATAGTAAGTAACAATAAATAATGCCACATCTATGTTATACTTTTCTCTTACTGTCTCTCTCTTTCTCTAATTTCTTAAGACTTCCTGGCTGGTCAGATCGTTAAGTCTTTGATTGGTTTCTCAAACAATGGTAATGAAAATTTTATAGTGACGTCAGTTGAGGCTTCATTTAGGTACAGTGTGTACTTATATTTATTACACATGTACATACGTATTATAGGTATCCTCAAGATTTTTCCTATTTTATTCAAAATGTGAGTAACATTATTGTCTTGTCCAAGCTAGAATGATCACTTTTACCTTTATTGATATGTACATGTATATGTATTGCGTGTACATGTATTACATGCATATTAACACATGTTTTGTTCTTTATAGTTTTCAAAGGTTTATTATGATGCCTACGTTCCCCCTTCCCACCAGGTACATGTTGTTTTTTTTTTTATTCTTATTAATTTTACCTTCACCTCCCTAGGCATCATTCACATATGATTTTACTCCTAGTGAATCTTTCTATTCCAGACCGTTTGGCTTAGTTGTTAATGTATATTATAAGACAGAGGTGAGTCATGTCTATAATATCTCATTTTATTGTGTACTTATGACCTGATCTGGGTAATAGTAATATATAATGGTAACAGTAGTGATTGCATTGTTGTAGTGATATGTACGTGTAATTTTTGTCTGTAAATAGTGTAGAAATTTGATAATTATCATTACTAATTTGCAGGAAGGCAATGAGTTTAGAGATGCTGTTTTTAATGGAACTGTTAATATTGTCGAGATTGAAGAAGAATTTGATGCTGAGTCGTGAGTATAAGAAGAGAGCTGAAAGAGGGATTGTTATTATTTATTTTTAATACTGCTAGGTTCTTCATGTATGTGCTAATGATATCTGGAGTCTGCCTGCTGATGTTTATTATTCATTTTGTATGGACTACAGTTAAAAGAGTAAGTATACTTTAGCTTATACCTTCACAGTATCATCTCCCTCTCTCTCTCTCCCCCTCTCTCTCTCCCCCCTCTCTCTCTCCCCCCCTCTCTCTCCCCTCTCTCTCCCCCCTCTCTCTCTCCCCCTCTCTCTCTTAGGGTGGTAGGGCAGCTCCAAAGAAGCGTGCTGCTCCAGTTGAAAGAGGTACTACTAAGAACAAGAGGAGTCAGGTTGATGAGAGCTGGCTCCCTGAAGGAACTATACAAAGTAACTACTTGAACTTTTCTGTTTGTGAATTTTATATTAATTAGCCTTTTATGCATGTGAATGTACACATGTGCATGTACATCCACACTATCAGTCATTTTGTTAGGAATCAGCTTCACTCTGGAATGACATGTACTATACAGGGTTTCCCCCAATGGATGATAAGTGCATGAGCTAGAAGGCTGTTGTAGCATTTATGGTTCAGCTTCAAAAATTTTTAAAAATTCCAATTTTGATGAGAACCAGCTCAAAATTTAACACAACATAAGTACATGTATATGTATCAAAGAATTATTAAAATGGAGAAATATCTTTTTATTTTTGACTAAATTTGGCCAACGACCATGTACTAGTAATATTAGTAATTTGGTTACAGGGACTTTGGCCTGATTTTGAAGCAACTTCAAAAATTTTTAAAAACCAATTTTTTCTGTGAATCACCTTAAATTTTTTACACAACATTAGTATATGTATATGTATCAAAAAAATTATTAAAATGGAGAATTCTCTCCTATTCATTTTTGACAAAATATCCTGCAAAGCCTTTAATTAGATTTTAGAGCAACTTCAAAAATTTCCAGAGAACACTATGCCAAAATTCTGTTGGCAACCCTGTGCATGTACATGTTTATTCTCATTATTATTTCTGTCTCTATCAAATGTAGAGAAGAGCCCAAGGAAGCCGACGTCACCTCGTAACAGACAGAAGACAACTAGCAATAATACATTGAACACTCCTAAAGTTGATTAGAATGACAGAAGCAATAGCAGTGTATTCTCCTTGTCTCAGCTGTGCCTCTCTGTTCTATTGTTGCTCCTCTTTATAATTATTATTATTTTTTCAATTGTTGCATCAATAAAATATAATAATAATAATAGTAATAATAATACCGTACAGAGAGTCTGAAAAATTTCACAAATTCATCCAAAATCTTTTGAGGTACGGTATATGTAAAACTGTATTAAATTTTTTTTTGCAGATTTTATGTTCGTGAATTGTGAATAAATTGTGAAAATTCACAAAAAATTTTGGGCATTAAAAATTTTTTTAATTATCTATATGGTAATAAGTACAAAATAGTAAAATTTGAGACACTTATTTGTGACCTGTATAGTGTATACACGTACTGATAGTTTCACTGGTTCAGTTATGGTCAATGTTGGTTGTGCATGACACCACTCACACCAGTATCAGTTGTGTGACTGATAAGAAGCCAAATGTTGTGTGTGTGTGTGTAAATTACTATACTTGGACAAGAGGTCTGTACTATGGTCAGTAGTATAACGTGATGAGTACAAACTCTATTAAAAGGCTTTTCACTTAAATGACTGACTAGCATAATTATTATTGTTTATAAAATAACAGATACTGGCTAGCAATACATTTTTGCATTAACATTTAACACTGCTACATAGACACTAGCAATACACATTTATATTAATGGTAAATAATACCGACAAGTGTGCAGTACATTGCTGGGCTACAAGAGGCTCTGAAAGAATAGTATGCGTACATTGATAATGAAATTGAAAAAATAATAAATATCTAGCAAATTGACATGTACGATTGTGAAAGATAAAATGATACAAAAATATTAATGATTAGTTTATAGTTTCAGACTCATCAAAAGTAGCCTCAGAGCCTCCTCCAGCCCCAACACTAGAAGAACTTGAAGTGCTAGTGTCCAGCAGCTCAGTTTCCTCATCATCACTCATTACATGATCTTCAGACCGGCAACACTGGGAGGGGTAACACAAGGAACAGGTCCGCTTCATCTTCTCTTTTATGAGCTGTCCTGCTCTATCTTTCTGTCTCTCCAATGCGTCCTCAGCTCGTCCAAACCAACTGCAATACTTCTTAGAGGAAATACACTTTATCCTATCCAACCACGGGCAATCACATAATGGTATCCTCTTCATCTTGCTATTGATGCAATCCGAGGCTTTACGAGGGAGTGAGCTAACAAGAGCCTTGAGCCCTAGATAGAGGACCAGAGAGAGATAAGGTAGGAGAACAATGACTGTTAGAATGTAAACCCAAAATTGCGATCGGTCCTTAATAAAGGTGTACACAAAAAAGAAATTGATGCATATCACTGAGAGAGCTAGAAGCCAAATAATGAATTTCATGATGATGCCATTTTTAAAGGAGCCCATTACTAGATAAGAATTAGTGAAGTGTAGGATTGGTAGGAGGGCAAATGGTAATTGGAGAGATTGGACAACATTCAGTATATCATTCATTCCAGTCAAGCGATCAATACTAGTAAAGACAGCCACCATTAGTGTAGGAAGGATGGCAATAGAGCGAGTGAACATAACCCTCTTCCAACGACTCCAGTGTATGTCCAGGAACCCTTCCATCACAAATTGACCCGCATAGGTTCCGGTCATGGTAGAACTAGACCCGGCAGCGAGGATACCAATGGCCCATATGTACTTAGCTGCCCCAGTGAAGTAACAACCAAGGAAGAGTCCTCCTTTATATATATCAATAGGTACAGTGTCATTAGGGGAATAGGTATCTGCACTAGAGTTTATTACTTCAGGACATATTTGTTCAATATCTTCAGAGACAAGTCCATTATATGTAGCAGCAAATACGGACACTACGAACAGATTGATAACAAAAGAGACTAGGAGAGCAACAGCCGACTCTATGAAGAAATAAAAATTGGCTTCTTTAATTTTCTTGGGATTGTCCGTCTCTACCTCACGGGACTTCACTAGTGACGAGTGAAGATAGATATTATGGGGCATTATCACTGCACCAACTATACCCACAGCCACCACAACCCTTGATGAAGAAACCTCGGGGACGAATAGTCCCTTTAATAAAGCAACGAAATCAACGTAACCGGCAATACTCGCCCAGACAAACTCTGCCCCGAACGCTAGTGCCATTACAGTGATGAGGAAACAAAAGAACAACTCTAGCTTTCTTAGTCCGTACTTGTCAAGGAACAGGAAGAAAAAGGTGTCAAATATTGTTATCAAGACGCCGGCCCAGAGAGGGATGTGACGATGTGAGAGGAGATAAAAGGCAATCGCAGTCCCAATGACCTCTTGCATGTCACTACCGATAATAGCCACTTCAATCATGAGCCATAGAGATATACGTGGGACGAATGGTAGGTTCTCACGACATGCCTCGGCAAGGTTCCGACCAGAGACGACCCCCAGACGAGCAGAGAGACGCTGTAGGAGGAGACCAAGGAAAGTGGATACCATCAGTAGCCATAGCAACTGGTAGCCGGCAGTTGCTCCTGATTGAAGGTCTGATTCTATATTACCAGGATCAAGATAGGCTATGCTCATTAGGAAACCGGGACCAGAGAAAGCCCAGAGTTTCTTGAAACTGAACCCAGCAATGTACTTGAAGCCCTCGCTATCAGGTATGTGTACCTTCCTTTCAAAGTAGCCCCCGGCACCGTTTTGTTTTCTAGTATCCACTACTCGGTCTGTCTCTCTCGCTGTCTCTTTGTTGGTCTCTTTGCCAAAAATCTCATCTTCATCCTCCATGTCTGAAAACGAGTTGAAAGCGGAGGGAGAGAGCAACAAGACCTTATCTTCAACAGCTTTAAGTTTTCTCTCCTCTAGTATTTTCCCCTTGTATGGCAAGACACTAACCATAACTTAAGTCAGAGGCCGGCGGCCGGCCACTACCATCAACCACACCTTCCACCATGATGGATAATTATTATTATTTCAAAAAATTTAATAAAATGAAAACCATAATTATAATAATACCACAAAATCCATACATGGTGGTATACATTATCAATCAGTCTTTCCAGCCTTTGGTCTGCTCTCATGCGTTCGAGAGAACAGTATAGTCAGTGTCTTCCATACAATGTGAAAGCTCCAGTAGACCACTACATGAGCCACACTGATAAACACAACCCAGAGGAGTATGCGTATAAAAATGTGTTGGGCTGAAGTGAATTCTAAATAAAGATAGAATACACCGAGAATCCAATTCAGTCCAAAGGCTATCCAATTAAATATCATTCCTAAAGTGCCCAATTGTTCAGAGTTTACACCTTCATTTTCATTTTCTTTATCTTCATTTTCATTTTCTTCATTGCTGCCAGCCGGTGGTCCAGTTCCTTCAGCTTTCATCCTTTCTTCTCTCTCCTTCTGATAAGCTTGACTGTACTCTGGATTAATTATCAAAAGGACCTGACGCCATAACTCATTATTAGAGAACAGGACCTCATCATATGTCTTCTCTGCCCACGAAGTCTCTGCATTATTTACAAAGACAGCAGACATCTTTAAAGATGGTATAACGAATATCTGAGCTGTTGGGCTCATACTAAACATAGCATCATTAGGGAGAGTGTCAAGGAGCCTGTTACCATCAATACCAGCATTCATCCACCAACCAAACGCATAGTTGTCACTACGTTCATAAATGTCCCTTTCATCTTCAGACAAGAGAGGCAATGAATTCAAATCAGAGTGTATGACTTCGGTCAGACGATAAAGGTTAAAGAATGGAACGACAGGATGTCCTTGATCATTAAGTATCGATTCATCTAACTGTAGACTCATAAATGCATCATTCCAGGCTTCATTAAGAGACCGGCCTAATAGATGATTGACAGCTTGAAAGGCAACATGACATTGAACATTAAACTCTATGTTGAATGTCTTGCTATCCCTATCAATGCCATCAGGGAGTTTATTAAAGAGACTCATTAGGGTCATGTACTGGTAGTGCTGTGGGACGTTTAGTTTCTTCTTTGATATAGAGAGCTCACGAAGTGCTTTGAAGAAAATATCTGGTTCGTGTCCTTCAAGGAGTATAGTGAGGGATGAGGTGATTAATGTAAGCACGTTACAGTTTGGTAAGACTTGACTTGTATTCCATTTCATGGTCTCAGGGAAACTCTCTAATATAAGCTGCCCATCCAGTGACATCACTATAGCCCTTGACTGGACGAGGTGCTTGATGTTTGTTAACATTTTAGCTAGCAGGCTCTCTCGGGTGGGGCCACTAGACTCTATTAATGGGCGCCATAATGAGAGCTGTTCATCCGAGGGAGAATGGAGATAGGACTTTATGACAGAGAGCGGCTCGTGAGGTATGACTTTATCAGCACCTTGACCCTCTCTGAAGGACAGAGAGAACAAGAGAAATAGGGCGAGAGAGACTGAGAGGGCCATTGATCAGTAGAGGTCAATTTCTTAATAGCACGTGAATCAAGCAATCTCATTGGTCAGGTGGGTAGAATGACCACACCCACTTCATTAGAGATATAGGAGGAGACAAACTTCAACTTCCCTGAAATCTATTTAGTGAGAGAGGAATGAGTGAAAAGGAGGATTTGGAGCTGCAGTCAGGCAGCCATTATGGTACAAATACAACTGCTAGCTGTAAGAAACATATATTTACAGACACAGTGACTTCTGAGACTGAACCCACACCAGAGACTGAACCAAATGACCTGGTCGATGAAGACAGTGTGAAAGAGCTATGGTGGGTCAAGATCTTCCCCTTTCTATTGAAATGGAACTGGCTGAGAAGGAGACTAGCTAAGAAGAAGGATGATAAGAAAAGTGAGACCTTCACACACATTGTGATAATTATTTAATCTTTCTCACCTTTTGTCTTTCCTATTCTTCTTGTTCTCCCCCCCCCCATTATCTCTTTCCTATTCTTCCCCAGAGCGTGGTCAATGGGACAACAGAGCCCAGTACATACTGACACTGTTAGGGTATGCTGTTGGTTTAGGTAATGTATGGAGGTTCTCATATCTAGTGGCTAAAAATGGAGGAGGTACTGTATCTTAGTGTCACATAATCTTGACCGTATTTGATGTGTAATATGTAAATGTAACTGATCACTTTAATATACTTCTATATATAGATCTTGTATTGTCTGTCTCTGGTGACACCTTCCTTGTATAATCAATTCTTGATTTCATTTCTCTTTCTTTTTCCCTCTCTCTCTCTCTCTCTTTCCACAGCTGCTTTTGTCATTCCATACATCACTATGCTCTTTGTTGTTGGTATTCCTTTATTTTATCTCGAAACACTTATCGGGCAGACTCTCCAGAAAGGACCCATACTTGCCTGGTTTAAGATATGCCCTAATCTTTGGGGTATTGGTCTAGCCGCCTCCGTAGTCACTGTATACATATCTCTATATTACAATGTCATCATGAGCTGGGTCATACTGTATTTCTTCCACTCATTTCAAGATCCTTTGCCGTGGGCAAAGTGTTGCGGATTCGTCTTGAATCTTTTGAACGATACGATCAATTCGAATTATCTTCATGCACACGAGAATGGGACAGTGTGTGGTGGGACCTTTACGCCATATTCTGATCTGGCAGGTTGTGTGAATGACTCTACTAGGTAGGGACTATTCATTGTGTCTTGTTAATTATAATAATAGTAGTAAAGTTATTATATGTACATGTATATATGTGTGTGTGTGTGTGTATGGAATTGGCAGGGTGCACATCATGTATTATGGCACTATGGTTATGTAGTACATGTATACACGTATTATGGTTTTTACTTTTTTCTCATTTATCCTCTTCTTCTTATACAGGTATTATTGGTATGTCAATACGCTAGAGGCTAATGGTAGTATCAATGATTTCAGTGGGTTCAATTGGAGGATTTATCTGTGTTTATTTGCTGGTTGGGTAATCGTCTATTTGTGTATGTTTAAAGGAATACAATCAACTGGGAAGGTACATAAGAGTGTGTATATACAATGTATGTACAGTATGTTATGAATACATGTACATATAAGTATGTGTGTTGTGAAGTGTTACGGATCATTACTATTATTGAATTAGTAAGAATCACTGCTATTATTATATTAATGTTACTCATAGCTGATAAGCTTCTATCATTCATTCATTCATTATTTCTTTCTCTATCTCTGTCTTTCTTTTCTCTTTCCATCCCTTCCTTCATTCCAGGTGGTATATTTCACTGCAATTTTTCCATACATTGTACTCATTATATTGTTCTTCAGAGCTGTCACTCTTGATGGAGCCGGCGATGGAATAAAGTTCCTCTTTGTACCTGATGTAAGTTCACTTACAATCTACATGTACATGCACCTTTAACTTTCTTCTTTCATTGCCCCCAAGCCATAGATATTTTAGCAGTTTAACACCTTAGTACATACATACCATACAAGATGATTTATTGGCAGGAGTAATATTTGGCGAATTTGCCTGTGGAAAGAAATTGGTGGATTTTATATTGGTGATTTTGTGCCATGTGCCATTGAGCATGCTCAGATTGAAACAAAATGGCAGATTGCATATTGGTGATTTCTTCATGGAAATTCTAATCACCAATATTAATTCCTTGCCAATAAATAATCTATAGTAGTTTACCCAAAATAGTGATTATTATTGATCCCCTTAGTTTGGCCATAGATACTGTATCTATTGTTTGGGAGTTTTATTGCAACTAGGTCTTGCACCATTTTATTTCTACTTTCTTTTGATCCTTCACCCCATACTCTCTCTCTCTCTCTCTTCTAGTCTGACACTGTTAGGACTAAGTTATTCCAGCCTCAAGTATGGCTTGAGGCTGCCACTCAGATATTTTTTTCACTTGGTCTCTCAATGGGGGCACTGATTGCTTTATCAAGTTACAGCAAACAGAACAACAATCCGCTGGTTGATACTCTCATTGTCTGTTTCTCTAACTCTTTCACGTCAATATTTTCCAGTATCATTGTTTTCTCTATTGTTGGATATAAGGCTAATCTTCTGAATGTCCCGCCACAGCTGGTATGTGTACATGTACCATAACATTACATTTATGTGTTGTTTTTTATCTACCATAATCATTGTGTGTAATTTTAAGAGGCCTAACATATATCCCTCCTACAACTAATGTTTCTTCACCAGGCATTAAGCTCAATGGCACAGGTCATTTATCATAAATTACAAAAAGTTGTGATAATTTCCCCCTAGTATTGTTAACACATACATGCACATATAGTTGGTAGTACTTTAAAGTGGAGCACACGTATCTTATTCTCTTTTGTCCTCCACTCCAGATTTATCACATAGATATGTACATGTATATGACCCTTTTTCTTTCTCTCTCTCTCTCTCCCTCCCTCTCCCTCTCTCTCTCCCTCTCCCTCTCTCTCTCACTCTCCCGCCCTCTCTCCCTCTCCCCCCCCCTCTCTCTCTCTCCCTCTTTTCCCTTAAGTGTCTCAGGGTCCTGGTTTGGCATTTGTTGTATTCTCACAAGCCCTCACTCTCATGCCAGTGTCTCCTTTGTGGGCTGTTCTCTTCTTCATTATGCTCTTCCTCCTTGGTATTGACTCACAGTTTGCTGGAATGGAGTGTCTTATAACTGTGCTCCTTGATAGCAAGAAGATCAGGAAAATAAGGAAAGAGATATTGATATGTAAGTTTATAGTATATGTAATTAGCCTGTAGCTATAATGAGACTCATGATTGTATTGTGTGAAAACCACAAAATGTAAAACTGTGTGACCCACAAGCAACTGTTCGGGCTGCTTGCTTTAAAAGCAATAAGAAGGTAAGATGAGTCACTGTGAGACACATGTAGTGAAGATCTCAATTTTTGGAAAGGGTATCATTATACCCTCATGATAGCTCAGTTTATTTACATGTAATTTCTTTTTATTTTTACAAAGTATATAAGTGTAAAAATTATTAAAAAATTCCTATAATTGTTGTCACCACCTTTTCTTATTAAAACTTATAAAAGTTCTCTCCACCTTCTTCTAATGCTTCTAGAGAAGTCTTTAGTGTGTTCTCTAGCTGTTAGAAAGCACACAATTTTGTCATGTGTAAGCCTCCATTTTTTGCCGTCCCACACCCACTTACATAAAGTAGTGTGGGCGGATGATTGCTAAGGCTTGCAATACAACGTGAATAGAAGCATAGATATACCACCTGTAAATATATAGAAGAAATCCAGGTGTAGGCGTACAAATATACATGTATGCAGATAGCGTGATGGTGAAAACAATTATAGAACTACCTGGGCCTTTGTCCTCAGGTCGTAAAAAATAAATGGCTCATTCATAACTTGAAAATTTGGAAACAGCTTAAACTTTCTACATACATGTAGCTCAAGTAGATCAGAAAATGTAATGAAAATTGATTTGGAGCCATTTTTTATGTGTACATGTACGCATGTAACATCTACAGTGAATAAAGTATGATTATGCTGTAAGATAGAGTGTACATGTAATTGAAGATAATTATCAGCTTCACTATTAGATTGTCCTTGATAAGTTCATATTGTTACAGTTGATGGTATCAGTTTATGATGTGGCCTTATAATGACACTATTTGTGGTGTTTGTTATCAAATACTGATAACAGTGACTGGATATTACTACTCCTAATTACATATACTTATCCATGTACATTAAAGTTATTATCTCTCTCTCTCTCTTCCTCCCTCTCTCTCTCTCTTTCCTCTAGTAATTGTCTGTACCTTGTTCTTCCTTGTCAGTTTTATCTTTGTCCTTGGTAATGGTCTTTACTTGTTTCAATTGTTTGATCAGTATGCTTCAACACTACCATTACTCTTCATTGGTCTTTGTGAGGTTGTCACCATCTCTTGGATATTTGGAGCTAATAGGTACAGTATAATGTAATAAATTATACGCACATGTACATGTACATACAGAATATGTCATGTATGCCAGAAATGATAGTGACATTTTTGTATGCTCTTTATCTGTGGGACATCATTAGTTTTTTTATCCTTGTTACATGCAGTACGTGAATGCTTGTTACATGAATGCATCTGATTTTTTAAATAATGTAATTTTACATACATTTATACATAATCTTATATTGCATAAAATAATGTATGTATTTAAGGCACATCCTTACTAACAAAAAGGATGATTTTGTTTATGTATTCTTGTTATACATTTCATTGTTATTATTCTCTAGGTTTCTGGATGGTATTAGTTTCAACTTGCATCTTTACATGAGGCGCTTCTGGTTCTTTGTCTGGACTTTCATGAGTCCTATCGTAATGATAATAATATTCTTTGGGAGCGTTATTAATGAAATAGTACAACCACTTCAGTACACTGTATTTGATACTGTCATAAATGTAAGGAAGAGAGGAGAGTTGGAATATTTTTGTATTTTATGCAAAATATTTTTCACACACTCGATGCTTACCACCAGTGTTTTCCAAAGGATTTTGGCATAGTGCTCATTCAGTTAATGTGGCTCAAAAATTTGACAAAATACCACATTATATAGGGGGTTTTTTGAAAGAGAAAGTTTCCCGTTTTTATAATTTTAAAATATTCTTATGTTGTGTAGCAAGTTTGAGCTGATTCTGATCAAGTTTGAATATTTTAAGAATTTTTAAAGTTGCTCAAAAATTGGGCCAAAGACCCTGTACTTATAGTACAGGGTCTTTCGCTGAAATTTGCCAAAAATGGCTAGGAGAGAATTCTCCATTTTAATAATTTTTTTATGAAACATATACATGCTCTTATGTTGTGTAGCAAGTTTGAGCTGATTCCGACTAAAATTGGATTTTTAATGAATTTTTTAAGTTACTCAAAAATTGGGCCAAAGTCCCTGTACTATAGTACAGGGTTCTTGGTCAAATTTCGCCAAAAATGAAAAGGAGAGAATTCTCCATTTTTATAATTTTTTCTGATACATATACATGTACTTATGTTGTGTATCAAATTTGAGCTGATTCCAATCACAATTGAATTTTTCATGAATTTTTAAAGTTGCTCCAAAATCGGGCCAAAGTCCCTGTACTATAGTACAGGGTTCTTGGTCAAATTTTGCCAAAAATGAAAAGGAGAGAATTCTCCATTTTTAAATTTTTTCTGATACATATACATGTACTTATGTTGTGTAGAAATGTTGAGCTGATTCCAACCAAAATTGGATTTTTAATGAATTTTTCAAGTTACTCAAAAATTGGGTCAAAGTCCCTGTACTATAGTACAGGGTCTTTGGCTGAATTTTGCCAAAAATGGCTAGGAGAGAATTCTCCATTTTTATAATTTTTTTCTGATTTGCATGCATGTTTTTATGTTGTGTAGCAAGTTTGAGCAGATTTCGATCAAGTTTAGATTTTTTACAAATTTTAAAAGTCACTCAAAAAATCTTCCTGTACTGAGTAGCTACATGTATTTGCATTATTTTTACCAAAATGACTAGGAGAGAATTCTCCATTTTTTAATACTGTATACTTATTGTTATGTTATGTAGCAAGTTCGAGCTTCTGATTCTGATCAAAATTTATTATTTGACAAATTTTTAAAGTTGCTCCAAATGCCATGTACTGTATTGTAGTGCTTGTCAGCTCATGAAGCTCATGCTGTTTAGCTCACCTAGCATGCTTTGTGGGAAACCCATATAGACTGAATTTTATACATTTAAATTTTGCTCACACAAAAACATAATTGAAATATTCCCAGACCACAGTATGCTATTATACATGATACAAGTGTATGCAGTACATTAAATACATGTATTTACATGTATTTACACTGTACATGTATTTCTTTATACCTCCTCCCCCCATATAGCATGATGGTGAAGAAGTGATGGATGAGTTTAGGCTCAAGTATCCAACCTGGGCCCAGTTCATAGGAGCAATGATAACCCTCTCATCAATCCTCTGCATACCAACTGTACTCATAATCAGACTCATCATATACCACAGGGCACGCAAGCAGCTCAAGGAAACATGGCTATTAACAAAGACTAGGTATCATTATGTTGTTGAGAAGGTAAAGGGAGTTGTGTTCCAGCAGTCTTACTCTCCTCAAGAGAATGAACTAGTTGAAGAGCCTCAGACCTCGCCTTATTTCCACGCTGATGAGGAACAACCAACACCTATTGATGCCCTCTCGGAGACGAGTGCCGAGAGTGAGGAAGACAGCAGATTTCCATGTGGAAATGCTAACGGATTGTCTTAATGTTTTAACAGTATTATTATGTTTTATTGTGTGGATCACTAAGGTTCTGGTTATTGTATGCAACATGTACAATTTCAATGCATTGAGTTAATTTTAATGATTAATTTTACATTATTATAGCATTTTTCTTTTAAAAAAAAATAATTATGAATTATATTAAATCATTTTTATTAATTGGTGTGGGTGTGGCTAACACGTGATGTGCAGTGTCAATGAAGATGAAGTTCAAGAAGTCATTTCTTCTCCTCCTCCTCTTAAGTAATTCTATTTTCATCATGGCCTGTCATTTCTCTTAGCACAGTTTGGACCAGGTTTGTATGAAATGCAATTCAGAGAAAGCTGTAACTATAGCTAGAACAAAAGACCCTTTCTGCAGGTTAGACACTTGTTTTTATACATTCCTACTCTCTCCTCTCCCCAGGGCTTGTTTTGATCAATATTTCACTCATCGATTTAGATCAACGTTTGGTAAATCCAGACTAATAAGACAAGGAGAAGAGGTAGTGATTTAAATACTTTGAGCTAGGGATAATTAATAATAATTAATATTATTTTGTATAATAATTATTTTATAATTTAAGTTATTCCAGAACCACCTTAAAAATTTTTAGGTGTGCATTATGCCAGAACTGGTATTTTTTTATTAATAGACAAAATATGAATTATTTTAAAACAATGCTTGTACCTGTATTGGTGGTGTATTGTTTTAGGTACTTTTAGCATTTTCTGGTGGTCAGAGTTCTCGTGTGTTACTTCATCTTGTTCAAGAGGTCAGTTACCTTTTTGTTTTACTATAACATGTACAATGTTCATTTTTAGGGTTTATCTGAACATGCTGTTAAACGGCTCCGTTTCACTCCCATTATTATTTATATTGATGGTATGTTCTCTGTAATTTTGATATTGTATAGCTAGAGGATATTACTTTAGATCAAATTTTTTGGTAATTCCTTAGCTTTGCAGTTGTTCGTACAACTGAGCCTTATTTTTACTTGTCCTTGGCATGTGCAGACATGTATGAAAAATTTATACATAGTTTTATTCTTAGTTTCTTCATTTACATCACCTCAAATGATAATGAATACGATATTATTGAAAACATTAGTATTCCTGGTTTTATCATTTTACTTAACTAGAGGGTGTGGTTTATGGCTATGCCTCTGAGAGGCAGAAGTCTTTGCTAAAAGAAGTTTCTGGCATAATAGCTCAAACACAATTTCCAGGATACTTTACAAAATTGGAAGAGGTAAGCAGCGAGACTAGAAGAGTCAATCTTCTTGTATTGAAAATATTATTATTTGTCATTATCTTTATCAGGTTTTTACTGGTGCTAGGGTGTGGCCTATTAGTGATGCAGTTTTATCTGCTGGGTCTGAACAACGTTCAAAATTAGCTGCTCCAGACCCCACTTCATCAATCAGTCAAGGTAAAGAGTTATTTCCTAATTTCTATTACTGCATATTACATTAGTCTGTCTGGTTGGCATGCTAATTGCTAAGTAAGCTAAATAGTATGAGCTTCATGAGCTGACAAGCACTACAATATAGTACATGGCATTCGGGGCAAATTTAAAAAAATTTGATTGGGATCAGTTTAAAATTTCTACGCAATATAACATAAGTACATGCCAAAATCCCTGTACTGTAGTAAAGGGACTTTGGCTTGGTTTTTGAGCAACTTAAAAAATTCATAAAAAATCCAAACTTGATCGAAATGAGTTCAAACTTTCTACACAACATAAGTACATGTATTATGTCTTAGAAAAAGATTATAAAAAAGAGCATTCTTTCCTAGTGATTTTTTTAATTACTGGTAATACAAGGAATTTACTTGGGCCGAATTTTTGAGCAACTTGACAATCCACTGACAAGAACTGCATGAGCACTATGCCAAAACCCTGTGGGAAACCCTGAATCTGACTATGTAAACTTGTTTATCTTTGCTTTTTAAAAGGTGAAATGCCTGGGGAAGTCAAATTAAAGCAATTATTTGATAGTTTGAAAAGCTCAACAGCTAAAGAAGACATGCTACAGTCATTAAGGTTAGCAAAAAGTATATTATAACATTTACTGTCTCAAAAATTACTGGAATTAAGATATTGGCATTACATAAGTTAGCACCACTTTCTCTCAAACTTAATGCATGACATAGGACATATGATATATCATTGTCTGATTGATTTCTTTTTTTATTTTTACCAGACGGCAGTTACTTGTTGACATTGCTGCTAAATACTTCAACACTGGCAAGGTACTATATCTATTGACGAATCATTGCTTCAAGTTATTAATTTACAGATTCTTGTTGGAGATAATGCTACTCGACTTTCTGTTAGGTTACTAGGGAACATAGCCCAGGGACGTGGTGGCACGATACCTCTTGATACTGTAAGTATATCTGAGCTGGTACATGTAATAATATTATCTCATCCTCATTGAATTGATTTAATCTATATATTTAGGGTTTTTGTGACAACAGGTCTGACGTTATGGTATTACGACCTTTAAGGTAGCAATAAGCTTATTAAGTATTACATATTTTTATTATGTTTTTTATCAAGAGAGTTTCCAGACTCTGAAATTGCTTCATATTTGACGTTGCATCAGCTTCAATCAGTTGATGCCTCCAGTGATCACTCATTACCAGTATGCTCTCTTTCTTCTCTTTTCCATTCTACTCCATTCTCTTTTTCTCTTTTTTTCTCTAACAGTTTTGTCGTAGTAATAGCCTTTATATTTTTTATTAAACCAGCTATTGTAATTAGCAATTAAAATTTTGATTTTACAATGGTAATCTAGTGAGCATATGCATGTATTATTATTATTATTATTATTATTATTATTATTATTATTATTATTGTTGTTGTTATTATTGTTATTATTCTTAGGGTTCATCTGGACACAGTATTGAGGGACTGACAGCTTCTTTTGTTCACTCATTACAGTCTAACTTTAGCTCAACAGTCAGTACAATATTTAGGTAATAAGAAGCGACTGTTTAGTGTTTACACATTTACAGTATAACTAGTTTAAAATTTATATTCTCAAATTTGTATTTAAAAGAGGCTACTAGTAATTATAGCTTACCAAAAGTAGAAAGCTGCGTGTATCTTCTTTCATAACTACTAAAATACAATGCAGATTATCAGCCTTGTCATTGTGATTAATTTGATGCCTACACATTGATTTTATTTTGATAGAACTAGTGACAAGTTACAGTTAAGTGAAGATTTGGTACATTCTGGTCAATGTTGTCCACTGTGTCAGGTACCTCAAGATTTTCACAAGACTATTAATTGTGTGATATGTGATTATGTGTAGGCTCCGTGTGAAGAATCATTTAATGAAGAAGTGTTTTCTCATGTGTCTACATCAGGGAATAATAAGCTTTTGTGTTATGGTTAGCTAATCCTGCTCTCTTGCTCTCCCTCAATTCTCACCTTTTGTATCATGTGCCTCTACCTCCATCTCACTCTGGTTTTCCCCTTTAATGTATACTGTATACATTTTAATGTATACTGTATACATCATTGGTAGTATCATCTCATTCTATAGGCTGTAGACTAACTGCAAGGGGAACAGTACATGTATGTTATTACATGCAGTCATGCTTTTTGTTACAACTCTTTCTCTCTTAAGGAAAACATTTTAGAATTGTTATTGAAAGATGACTCAGGTGGTAGTAATGAACTATAATTGACTGTGAGCTTTCAGTTTCAATTTCGTGTGCTTTCCTCAAATGTAATGCGTAAATTTTATTTAAATAAAAGAACGTCATTGCTCTTTTTGAAAACAAACTAGGAGAAATGATCTCTTCTGGGCTGTTGTTGGTTCGCTCTCTCTTTATCCTGTTTTCATTGGCACTGCTGGTAAGCAATGGTAGTACAGGGTTGGTTGAAAATAAAGATAATATAATCTTTGTGCCTAATTCACAAAATGGCACATTAAATTTGGAATTCTATTTGTGTCACAGTGAAGGGCAAGGGAAGTTAAGGTCTGGTACAATCCTATTATTAGATCCCAATGTGACACATCATATTTCTCTTGGTGGTGGTTTCTGTGTCCTTCGAGATATGTCTAATTTAACTGTGATGTCTGGCAGTGATACTTTGTATGCTAATATTAGTTGCAGTGTTACTTCTCCTGATGTCTTCTCCATTCAAACAGCAAGAGGGTTTGCTTTTATTGGAGGTAGCAATGTAGCAATACAGCGAATTAACTTGATGCAATGTGGTGGTCCACTCTCCTCCTCTTTCTTTCACAATGACTCAAGTCTCCCAGCATATTTTGGTCTTTATC